AGCGATGAGGGCTGTTGCCTCGATGTCAGTGCTGGGCTATGCCATAACATCCTACTAGCGTACTAGTTCTCTACTACCCTATGAATCAATACAAATTTTGCTCGTATTTCTAGTAGGCTTAGAGAGGGTGCAGTGAGACTCGCTCTGCTGTCGTCTATATTCGCCGTTTGATCACAATTCTACTTATTGGCCAATCACGTTGTAGGAAAGAGGCGAAAAACGACCTTTTTGACCAATCCATGTCGACCAGCGGGGTGCGCTGCCGATTCCAAGGCGATCGGCGGCCAAATGACGTTTGAAAATGGCATTGCCCATACTTGGCACCGTGATAGAGACTCATTTGGAGAGCACGAAACGCTACGTCGCGTCGACGGTGCTGGTGTTTAGCTCGAGAAATCTGCTTTCAAAGATTGGAGCGCACGCTATCTCATGTTTTACGGATATAGTGTGAGCATGTGTGCCATGATTAGTGTGCGCACACGTGCCGTGATTGGCCGATTCAGGAGGCATTTGCGCGAATCACGGCGACACCGTCAAGTGACACCGAATGATCTTCCGCGCAACCCTCGTCCGTCAAAGCTTGCGACGGGAAATGTAGCGTACATCTTCTATGTAAACGATATCTAAAAGCTCATACGTGGACATTGTCAGAGCCTCATGCGCCACGACATCCAAGGGACAGCTTCGACTACTACTGGCGTCGTCCGCGGTCACGCAACACACCGCGCCGTGATTCGCCAAAACTTGGCGGCATATCTACCAATCGTGGTCCTTCGTCGCATTTCCAGCATGGCCCGCAAGATCAACTGGGCCGGCGTCGGGCTCTCGGTCATCACGGGCACGAGCCTCGCCGCCGTGAGCATCATGGCGTACTTTCGCTTTGAGTTTCCCGAGCAATTTGCCGAGGGCAGCGTGCGCCAGTCGCGCCCCGAGGCCTGGACCGACGAAGAGCGCCAGTGGGGCGCCTTTGGCTCGGGCCTCGCCGACGCCATTCCGTCCGCCGTCACCAACGTCTTCCGCTTCGAGAACGTCGCCGAGCGCATCGAGGCGCGCCGCGCCAAGCGTCGTCAAGAGATCCAAGACATCATTAACCAAAAAGATTAGCTTGCGCTCTTTCTACGACTTGACTACCTTGTAGCGCCCAACGACCGCGCCGAGCAGCGGTGTCGGGCTCACTGTCGCATTTTGGAGGTGGCAGATACTGTCGGTGATTGTAAAGCTGGTGCAGGACGGTGCCGAAGCGCATGCATCGCAGCAGGCGTTCAGCTGCCCGAGGAGATCACCCCCTTGCATATTGCGCTTCTCCAGGATGATAGCATCGAAGTTCATGTTGATCATGACGCCATAGCAGTGCGCGTGCAAAGCCATCTTGGCGCCTTCGTAACACGTAGCGTCGGCCAGCACGAGGCGGAGCGGTACGAGCGCAAGGAGCACGAGCGTTGACGTATGCAGCATCGTAGTGCGTGGGTCGATCGAGTGTCGTTTTCTCGCCGTGATGTAAAGGCATCGGTGGCCCCGTCCCATTCTACGCTTTTTCAAGCAGCTAACTCAGGAGACAATAGCAAATAAAACGCCTGGCTCTTCGTTAGCCTTTTGTCAGTGGGTACAAGACGGGCGGCAGCGGTGTGCTCTCGCCGTGCATTTGAAGCACGTGGTTGTTGCCGCGGAGGTCCCAGCCGGCATGCGGTCCGTCCGACGCAGTGGCTTGGTGGTGGGCCTTGATACGCTGCTCGAGCAACGTTGGAACGTGGTTACTGGGCAGCGTCTCGACGCGCGCCACCAGCATCCCGTCGTCATTCGTTGTAAAATAGTCGTCCAGGCGGTTGCCGCCGTCGTCGTCGTCGTCGTCCGGTTGCAGATATGCGGGATCGAGATGGTACTGGAGTCCGTTGCCGTCCATGTGCCGGTACACGGGCTGCTGCGTCTGGAGCGCGTCCAGCACGGCCACGTCGTACTCGACTGCGTCACTTGGTACATTGATAATTTGCGACATGTCGTGCCGCGTCGGGCGCGCGCGCCGCACTGCGTGGGCTTTAGGATTTCGCTGTGGCGGGCGCATGGGCGGCGGCACCGGACTCTTCTTTTTCGGGATCGACTGCAGCCGCCCGCCACCCCCCACGACGCGCGTCGGCAGGCTATTTGGCGCGCGCGGCGATGTCAAGTTGGGCGAGCTATAGTCGTGCTCGGAAATGTCCCGTGTAAAGGACGCGAAGGGCCCAAAATCGTCGCCGAGCTCGCTGCGATCTTCGGGGTTGGAGACGGGCCGGGAGACAGCAAAGGGGCCGATCGCACCCATCGCTATCCGAGCGTGGAGACCAAACTGCGTCTCGTAGTCAGCGACCACGTTCGTCCGCACAAACGGCGCGCGGGCCGGCGCTTTCTCGAGCGACGCTTGCGTGAGCTTTGGAAGGACCGCGCCTTTGGTCCGCGCGATGCTGCGCCGGAGCAAGTGCCCCTGCGCGTACTCGGTCGTTGCGTCGCGACTGTGGTGCGTTAACGAGAAAAAATGGTGGTCGAGCTCCTCGTCCGGGATCAGCGACGTGATGTTGGTGAGGACGCTCTCGGGCGCCGAAAAGTCCATGCCATGCAGCTTGGCGCGCTCTTTGATCGGTGACCGCCGCGGCGGATACGTCTGCACGCTGCCGTCGGCCATGTCTTCGACCGCTTGGACCGCTTCGTCGACGCGAGTCATGAAGCGGACTTTCTCGATGGTGAGGTACCCGCTGGCATCCTCTTCGGCCATACCGCTCTACGAACACATATATAAGAACTCATAGTAGATGTTCCTTTGCGCGACTTGATCGAGCATGAGCTTGAGCGATGCGACGCGGTCGCGCAGGTTGGCGACACGGTGCTTGTACTGGTACAGCTCGAATTCTTGATCCATGATCTTGCGCGTCGTCGCTTGCTCGTACGCGCGGAAGCGCAGCAAGCGCGCTGCAAAGTCCTCGAGCACCAAGAGGCTGCGTTCGGCATGCATCTTGCCAACGCCAATCTCACACTGCGTGCGCTGCTTCTCCTCGAGAATGCGTGCGTCGCGCCGGGCGATCTGCCGCAAGAGCTCGAGTCGCTCGGCCTCGCGCCGCGTAATCTCGTGCCCGAGCTCGACGATGCGGTACTCGCACTGCACTTTGAGCTCATGGCCTTTGAGCGAGTGGCGCCGTTTGGTCGTCGAGAAGGCCGGGTTCTCATGGCGCATGTCCATCAGCGCCTAAACAAAAGTCACTCATTTGGAAGACCAAGGGGCAGAGTGACCATGACGGCGACGACGCTCTTGTGCATAACGTCGGCCGCCGACTTGCTCGGCAGCGACACGTGCTGCACGTCGCCGATCCCAAGCGACGCCTCGAGATGGCCGTTGCCCAAGGCAAACGCGTGCTCGTAGTGACCCTTGAGCTCGACGATGGCCTCGTCAAACGTAACTTCATGCTTTCGAATGCGGTCCATGAGCCCGGCCGTGGATGTGTTGAGCTGCGACATAACCAATTGGCTCGCGTTGGACTCGAGTTGGAGCACGCGCTTCTCTCGCACGAGTGCGTCTCGCTCGACCGTCATGTTGCGAATGATTTTCTCTTGCTGCTCGAGGCGTTGATGGAGGATCTTGACTTCCATGTGATTGGCCTCGATCGTCTACGGTCGCGTGAGTGATTTGTATCAACTTGATACTTGTGCCTTGGAGAGGTCGTTGATCTGGGCTTCGTTCTCGCGGCGCATATACGCCATTTCGCGCATTTGAGACATGGCCACCTTGAGCTCGAGCTCCACTTTGTTGACCGACTCTTTCGCGCCGTCCTCCACAACCTTGCACCGGTCTTTCATCGCGTTAAACCTACACAACCACTGATGGACAACATTGGTCCAACTTGCATACCCAATGGTCATGCGCTCGACGTTGCGCTCCATCTCGGCTATTTGACTCCGGAGCTGGTCGTTGACTTTATCGAGCTGCTGCAGTGACGTCTGGCTCGTCGCGAACGCGCGCTTGGCGAGCTGCAAGTCGTTTTCGACCGACTCGAGCGTCGCGCGGACGTTCCAGAGGTGTTCTTGGCTCTTCTCACGCTCGGCGCGCATCGTCTCAATGTCTTTTTCGAGCTCGACCTTTTTGTTGAGGAGCCTCTCGATGCGGAGCCGGTCGCCTTCGCGCATGTGGTTGTTCTTCTTCTCCATCAAGAGCAGCTGCGCTTGGGCTTCGAGCACCATATAATCGCGCTTTTGCTGCCCCACTTGGAGCGTGAGCGCCGCCACGTCGGCGGTCAGAGACGCGCACGCGCCACGGTCCTTCTCCATGACGTTTTTCAGCGAGAGAACGGTCGCGTCGGCTTCTTCGAGCGCACTTGTCTTGGCCGCGAGGGCAATGGTCGTTGTATGGAGCTCGGCAGAGAGCGACGCAACTCTGGCTTCGAGCTTTTCGTTGCTGAGCGCGAGGACCTCTCGGGCCGCGTGGTGCTTGAGCCGCTCGAGTGAGCCCGCTTTAATCTCGCTCTTGGCAAGGTCGAGTTCGTCCTTGATCGCTTGGTTGGCGGCTTGGAGCTCGCGCATGCGGTCGGCCGCGCGCGTCTTGTGTTCGTCGACTTTGGCCTTGTAATCGTCGACGTTTTGGAGCTACATGTCTCATAGTCTTCTGGATCACCGAGACTAAGCCTACTTCGTGAAGATAGCCCGTCAACTCGACTTGGAGATTGGACTTTTCGGCCAATGCGATGTGCAGCGACTGGCTCGTGTTCGCGAGCTCCTCGCGTGTCGCGGCAACGGTGTTTTCGAGCTCGAGAATCTCAAGGTTGGCAAGGCGCACGAGGTCGTCGGACGCCGCCGTGGCCTCTCGCGCCGCTTGCACCTGTCCGAGAACATGACTTTTGTATCCACGATGAGAGAGTCGAGTACCTCGTCTCGCAAGGCGGCAATGGTCGCGTCCCGACTGCTCACTTCCGCGACACGCTCGGCCACGATTGCTCGCTCGGCGTGCGTCTCTGCCTACACTTTTGTTTCAATGTACCACGTCGGAAAGAAAGGACAAACTTGGGCCGTGACAATGGCCGCTTGCAATGTCGACGTCTGGAGCTCGTACTCGCGGATCGCATTCTGCTTCCAGACCGCGGTCGCGTGGTTGAACTTGAGCATCGCCATTTCGTACCGTCCGTCTTCGCACTTTTCCAGCAAGTGTAGAAACGTGAGCCAAATGTTGGCCGCAATGTGCGACTCGGCGTACGCCGGGCAGTGCCGGCCAATCTCGTGAATGAGCGTGTGAAAGCCGCTCGAATAGACGAAAAGACCGCGGAATATACGGTCCACGATCGCCTTGGGCATGCCGAGCCGGAGCAGCGAGCCCGAGTCGATGCCCGCGCCTTCGAGTGGGCTTTTGTCGGGCGCGGAAAATATCGTTTGAATGTCGTTGTACTCGAGTTTGCTCTGGTACAATAGCGCTTGCTTCTTTGCATCGCTAGTTGCGTCTTCGGCCACGTACGAGCCCGAGAGCGGGATCAACTGGATAGCACCGCGTAAGAGGTGGGCGTTGACCCACGCCTCGACGGCGCCCGGGTCGTGCGTCTTGACGGCTTCGTCTTCGAGGTGCTCGGTGGGCGCAAAGAGCGGCACGTCGCCAAGACTGTGGGGCAACGTCGGAGCGCCCTGCCGCTTTGCAAACATGGACTGCGACTCCTTCTTCATGCGAATGATCTCGAGCTCTGCGGGGGGAATCGCCCCCCACTTGGTATCTGCATAATCCATGTGAGCTAACCGAAAAACGAGAAGCGCCATGTACCAAACTGAAGGATGCTGCGCGTCGAGGCCTCGGGGATGACCCGCAGCCGCGGCTCTATGACGCGCCGATAGCATCGCGGTGCATTCGTCATCGCCACGTACCTCGTGGCTCCATCGCCCCGCCTTTCCGTGCCGTTATCTGTACAAGAAACGCTTATAGACGCGCTTATCGACTAACTTGGGCACTAGTAGAGTCTCTTTGACACCGATGACGGCGGCTTGGGGCTACTGCGCGCTGGCGCCAACGGCGTCTTGGGCTTGACGCGCCGCTTGGGCTTGGGCGGCGTCATGGTGGCATGTGGTGGCGCCGGGTGCAGCGGTGCCTGGTGCAGTCGCTGCAGTAAGCGGTCTTGGAGCGACCGAATGTCATCGTGAATGCTCTTCGTGTGCACGTCGAGGGCCGCCAACTCTGTATCGAGCGCAACTTCTTGGTTGCTTCGACTCAGCATCGGCGGCATCGCGATCGTGGCCTGGACGTCTTGAAGAAGCGACGTCACTTTGGTCGCCTCGCTGCTGCGGAGGCTCTCGACTTGGGATGAGAGCGCGGCGACGTGCGCATTCTTTTCGTGGAGGAGCTTGAGCAGCTCGGCGTTGCGGGCTTCGACAGCCACGCGCTGCTGGTCACTCGCATACGCGGCGTCGCGCGCGTGCAGGAGCTCGCGCTCGGCATCTTCTTCGCGCGTGTGGATGTCGCGGCACGTCTGCGCAAGGCGCCGTTCGTACTCGTGGCAGCGCACGGCCGCGTCCTGCCGCTCGGCGCGCTCGGTCGCGAGAAGGTGCTCATTGGACTGCGCCGCGGCTTCAGTTGTCGCCAGCTGGTCCTCGAGTGCTGCGGTATGTCGCGCTTGCTGCGCTAGCTGTTCAACTTGGCGGCGCGCCAGGTCTTTTTCGCGCTCGAGCTGCGTCGAGGTCGCCAAGAGCTCGTGTTTAACGTCCAGCAGCATGCGCTGGAGCCGCTCGACGTCTTGCACGTGGACCTGCACGGCCGCGTCCATCTCGGCGCGGTCGCGGGCGTGGGCTTGTGCCTGGAGTCGCAAAAGTGTCTCATTCTCTTCCACTTGCCCTTGGGTGGTGGCCACCTCACCACGCAGAGTTGCGATCGCAGCGTCCTTCTCCGCACACAGCGTATACGCGTCGGCGACAGCCGCGTCTTTGGTCGCTAGCTTGGTTTCTAGCGACGCTATCTGTGCTTGGAGTGCTTCATTAGTCGAGCGAAGCGTGCTCACAGTGTCGGCGGCCGCGTCCTGTGCGTCTTGCGCGTCGCGCGTCATGTCTTCGAGAGCGACCATTTGCGCACTGCGCATCATGGCGTGCCGGAGAACCCAGTGCGACCAGCACCTCGTTCGTAGACGCCCATGCGACTGATATGCAAGCAGCGCCAACAGTCGTTTCGTGCGGCCTTGCAGGCTTGCCCACCGCCGCCACCTACGTCGTTGTCGTCATCTTACTCGGTGCCATACGTGGTAAGCAACCGGTGCCAAAGGCTTGCGGCCGTCCACAGCTGCATGCGCGCTTCCAGCTTGAGCAGGTTCTTGTCGCGGCGTCGCATCTCACGCGCGAGAAAGACGGCGTGGCGGAGCCCGAAAAACACCTTGCGGAGCTGCGCCTGCTTGTGCGCGCGTCGGTGGCGCAGGTGCAGCACAGCTTCTGCGCCCCAGACCCGCCACACCTTGCGCAACCATTTGGTGCTATAGTGTTTGTATGCCTTGAGATACCCAAGGACATATTTTCTCCGCCTTGTCTTGTAGAGCACCCAGCAGCGCCACGTTCGCTTCATACAGTGTGTCGTCGCATGGCGAAGTGCAATCTGCGACCCGCGGCTTGCATCGCGCGCGCCTGCACTCGTGGCTGCCCAGTGCGCGACGATTTTCCGAAGGCAGAAGCGATTGGCCTTGCAACGCCGCTGTCCCGCCGCCAGTGCATTGGCATGGCACCGCTACGTCGTCCATCATTGTCCAGCAGCAACGTCGGCGCAGCGTACCTGCCAGAGGCGCCAGTGCGCCTGCCGCCGCATGCTCTTGGCCATCGTGATTGCGCGCTGCAGCTGCCGCCACGCACCAAAGGTCACCGCTCGCGTGCGTTGCGCTCGACGGGAGAGCAACGAGCGCTCGATGTCAATCCGCGGGCGCCTTTGGCTTTGGGCAAAAAGGTGCAACTGGTGGAAATTCTTGTAGAGCACGAGCCGGTCGCGGCTGCGCTGGAGGGACCGGCGGTGGCGACGCTGTAAAAAGTGCCCCCGCGCGACGTGGCGCCATGCGCCGAAACATGCCCGGACGCACTGCCGTTCGGCCTGGAGACGGGACGCGGCTTGCGCGCGCCGCACGAATGCCCGTTGAGTTGCCAGCGTTTGCCAGCTTTGAAAGAGACGGCGCACACGACCGTTAGCGCGACGAGTCGACGCAAATTTTGTGATGGCGCTAAACCGACCAATGTTGGCCCAGCGCTCAAAGCAAGCAGCTGCGACACGCGAAAGGTGCTGCTGCGCGTAGCGTGCTGCACGTCGCTGCGTCGCCGCATGCGTCTGCCACGCTGCAAAGGCGCGCTGGGCACGGACCGCGACGGAGCGAGCTGTGAGCGCATCCGCGCGCTGTCGACGTCGACACCATTGGTGCCAGCCTTGCAGCAGCCGCTGAAGTTTAGTCTGCCAGAGACGCGATGTTTTGTGTGTTGGCGACGCGATGGAGGGGGCGATAGAATGCCGGTAGTGCGTCGGATACAAGCGCGGTGCGGGTGTCATGTCGGCCAAGAACATTGTCGTCCGCGGCGCCGGGGGGCTGCCGTATTCACTCTCTCTATATACCGACTCGCGAGGGTGCCACGGGTCGATGGCCACTGGAGGCGGTGGCGGCGTCGCAGCACGACCGTAGCTGCACTTACTGACCTTACTAGGAGGTAGGTGGGCCGTGCGGGCGCTCGACGCAGTGCTTGTCCTTCGGAGACCAGCATCCGGACCGTCGTCGTCGTCTGAGAGGCGGCTCGCTGCATATGGATGCAGGTTGCTTCGGGTGTTGATGGGAATCCCACTGCGGTCTGCCAAAGGCTTGGCTCGTCTCGTCGGTGGAACGGACGGTGTCTCGGGCGAGCGCTCGCATTCGTTCGAGTCTTCAACGCTTGCATCGTCGACGGGAGGTTCTAACTGCGATAAGCATCCGTGGGACATCACGGTCGTAGAGGGCGCGGTTGCCGAAGCCGTGTTCGTGTAGGGTGATGATGTCCTCGCGGTTCCTTGCGTTGCCGATGGCATCAAGGAAGGACTGGCGTTCGAAGCGCACACAACGGCATTTGGGCGAGCGCTCGCTGCCTCCTCGGCCAAATGGCTCAACTTTATACCGAATGGCGCTGCGCGAGGCCGAGTGGATGCCGCAACTGTTTCTTCCGGCAATAAGATCGCAGGTCGCTGCAATGGTTCGCTGGGCGCCGCCATGTCGCGCAGCCGCCGAATCTGATGCTCGTACTCGAGTAGTTGGATCTCCAGCGCACGCTCGCGCTCCTGGCTCTGCGTCCGTGCGTCGCGCTCGTGCAGCGACTGTTCCATGAGCTGCATCTGAAGCCGCAGCACAGCCTCGCGGTCTTCGAGTTGGTCGTCGTCGACGTGGTCGCTTGCTTTGGCCGGCATTTTCAATCGATGACGCCGCGTGGGGCTGAGCTGGCGCTGGGCTTTCACCTGCGCGATCGAGTCGAGGTGCCGAAACTCAAATTTGTTGACGGCTTCGCTCAGCGTCATGTCGGTAAAGTCGCCGCAGCGCGCGCCGGACGGCGGCAACCGGCGCCGCGATCGCTTCCACTCGTCGTCGCCCAGCATACCGTCCTCGAGCCCGTCTTGGCGATGTCCCTTTGCCGAGGGTGCAGCTGCAAGACGCTCCGAGTCGGAGTGGACGACACGCGTGGTGTCTGCCGTACGGGTGGGACGAAGCGTCGGCGCCCGCACGAGCAGCGACTTGATGGCGTCCATGAGGTCGCGCCGGTTGCGCTCACAGAGGCCTCGGAGCTTGGCGATCGTGTTTTGCTGGACGGCGAGGACGCTCGCATACGCATCTTCCCACGACGGTGCGGCCGGCGTCGCCAGCGATTTCAGCTTCTCCTTGGCCGCGGGCCCGAGCTTTTGCAGTAGCAATTTAGCTTTTCGAAGCGGGTACTGCTGGAGCTTCTCGTAGGCGCGGACCACCATGCGCTCTAATTGGCCCTCGGTCGTCGCGTCGTGCGCCGCCGGTGCGTCGTGGCTCCAGAGCCGGAGGAGCAGGTCGACGTTGACGGCCATCGACTCGAGCGGTGGCAGCGACGACGAGCCATAGACGACCAAGTAAAACTCCTTGTGCAACGCAATGCGCTGGACGAGCCACTCGAGGCGTGTGATGGCGCCGTGGTTCTCGGCCAAAAGCTGCCGCAGCGACGCGTCCTGGGCGATCAGAAAAGAAGAGACCTGGCGCTCTTTAGTCGATATATCGAGCGTGTCGAGCACCGAGAGCGTCGGGAGCAGCTGCAGCACGCGCGGACGGTAGTTGGGCGACTCGCAAATCGGGTTGCCGACGAGGTACAGCGTCTTGAGATGCGGCGACGAGATATGCGCGAGCTCGTCAAAGCGCGCAATGGCGTTGCTCCCAAGCGAGAGCATCTTGAGGTGGCCAAACTGCTCGAGGCCGGCGAGCGACGCCAGGTTGTTCTGGCTCAGGTACACGCACGTGGTCGTGCGCGCGACGGACGCCACGACGGGCCCGATGACGTCGATGGCCTTGTTGACCATATTGAGTTTGGTGCCATCGACGACGCGCATGCCATGGGCCTTGAGCACGTCCATGAGGCTCGTGCCCCGGCATCCCTTGCGCCGCTTCGACTCCATCGGCGCGATGGCACTGACATACTTGTATGGTATTATTATTATTATTATTCAACAGCTATAGTAGAACCGAGATAACAATGATTGTAGCTATTGTATGCTGCTCATGGACGCTTTTTAAATGGGACGAAAGATCGCGCGCGTCAAGCGACCGGTCGGCGATCGCAAGCAGCGCCGACAGTGCGGCAGCATTGCGCTGCCAACGGCGATAGGAGCTCGCGCAGAGGGTAGGTACCACCAACGATGCGTTTTGTCATTGCTACTACCATGACGCTTTCGCCTAACTCGGGCTACGACCTCTAGCCATGCACGCCATGGGCGTACAGGTGCGACGGTCGGCGGAGCTGTCGGTGGCATACTTGGCGACGACGAGAGGCGCTACGAAAGTTACATGCTCGTGTGGTGATCCAGCAGTCGTCGTCGTCAACGGCGGTGATGCCACGAGGGCTTTCAACGAAGAAGGGCGGTCGATGGTGTTGTCGCCTTGGAGTATGCCAAGCGAGCTCAGCAGCCCGAGCTGGCGCTGGATCATCGCCATGTCCACGACCATGCCATCCTCGCTAAAGCCCAGGCCTCTCCAAGATCGCGTCAATGTCGGCACGGGATTGGCTATATTTTCACATTATATAGCCAATCAAATGATTGGTTGGCTGAGACGTGAAAATGCATGGCTCTCCGCGTGCGCCCGGATGTCTCGGGCGGCGGTCGCCATTTTCAAAAAAAAATTCGTCGATGAGATTTCGACAGATTCTAGTAGACTATGAAGCGGGGAGTTGAATGCTGCAGCTATCGTGCTCGAAATCGCTCGGCATCCTGCTTAAATCGCCCAAAGTTCTTAGGATAGGGCTAGGTCTACGATATGATTGGTGGATACAAAATACGACAACCGGAATCCTTGCCATGACCACGCACGCACTGGCCAAGAGACACCAAGCACAGGCCTAACACGATCGCACCCTCGCCAGCACCAAAATGTACGCGTCTCGAAGAGGTCTTAGTAAGGCATCGCATGGTGGCGGTGGCGGGCGCCAAGTCCAGATGAATGGCATTGTTGCACTGCGCCTGGTAGGCACAGTTTTCAGCAGCACGGAACACGAGCATACCACCAAGTCGTTCCAGTCAGATTGCCCACAGTCCGTTGGCGTCGTACAAGCTTCTGCATTGCATAACCATTGGTGTATGTAGGTTGGTATCTCGACCATGTTATCCTGTCGATGGCACCATGCATGGTGCGTAAAAGTTGCGTGCGCCCAGCCGTCGGCGTCGGATGCTGCCACGTGTGCGGTGGTTGCGGCGTATTTTTAATAAAATAAAACGACGATTAGTTTTCGATTGTCTCGCTCCGACCATGTCGTCGCCCGAAGCCTGGTACAATGGCCTGCCGCAGGTCACGCGCTTCTACCTCACGACGTGCTTTGCGGCCACGTGCTTGACGCAGTTCGGTATGCTGAACCCGCGCTCCATCTACCTCGACCTGGAGCTCGTCGTCTACAAGTTCCATATCTGGCGCCTCGTCACGTGCTTTTGCTACGTCGGCAAGTTCAGCTTCCACTTCCTCGTTTGCCTCCTCTTGCTGTACGCCATCGCACAGAGCCTCGTCGCTCATGTCTCTGTAGCGGTCAGTATGGCAGCCGCCTCGAGGCCGACCCGTTCGTCGCCGGCGGCGGACCCACGGCCGACTTTGCGTTCATGATGCTCTGCGGCGCGTCCGTGCTCTGGGTACGATGGCCGCGCAGCAGCGACGAGGGCTTATGCGCGCTAGGTGGTGGGCGCTCTCATGGGCTACATCTTCCTCGGCGAGCCCATGATCTTTATGATCCTGTACATGTGGAGCCGCAAGAACCCGACGCAACTGGTGTCGTTTTGGGGCTTCAAGTTTGAAGCGCTCTATTTCCCGTGGGCGATGATCGCGTTCACGCTCCTCACTGGCAACGACCCACTGCCGCAGCTCGCGGGTCTCTTTGCTGGTCACGTCTACTACTTCTTCCTCGAGATCCTGCCCAACACAAAGGGCATCACGCTTCTCAAGACGCCCCAGATCTTGTACTACCAATATATTTGTGATAGAAAGTCTGACCTCTTTCCTTAGGATCAACTGCTTTCCGTCCACGGCGCGTCCCGTGTACGGTGCGCCGCCGGCCCAGCAGCGCGCGGGCGCCGAGGCGACGGGGCCCTCGCGCTACAACTGGGGCTCGGGCCGCACCCTCGGCTCCGACTAGGCCCAAGTGTGTTCTGCCCACGAAATTGCATATGAGTTGACGCTTGAATCGTTGTTGCTGTATTGAGCTCTGCGCTTTGACATTGCACTATATGCCCGAGGCGGACCCTGGAGATGCGTCAAGCCCGACTTGCCCCATCGCATCTCCCTTACAAACTCACTCTCGATTCCCACAGGCTGCATGATGGGATGCTATGTACAGGAACAAGCTAGTTCAACTGTGCCTTGGTGACACAGAAATCGACTGTTTATCTCTAAACTCTATATCTACACTATCGATCTCGGATCTAACCGAAGAGACCGCCGACTACGTCGTCGCTGTCCGTGTCACTCGCGGTGGCTTCGGCCGACTCTTGCGCATCGGCGGCGCGCTCGTTGAGCTCGAGGGTTGTCGCCACGTCAACGAACGGACGCCATTGCGGGTGGGCGCTGGCGAGAGCGGCGATCCGCTCCTTCGGGCCAGAGACCAAGCAGCACGTGTTGAGCCAGTTGGGCCACAGCCGCATTTCGTCGTACGGCACAAAGCTCGGCACGGGTGCCGCGAGCGTCGCCCAGCCCACTTTGCTCAAGAAGGCCGTCATGTCGGCGTCGTGTTCGTCTTTCCGGAAGAGGTGAGCGTGAAGGAAGAGTCCGTTCGCATTGTTCACGAGCGCAAGGACCGTCGAGAGGAGCGCGTCGAGGTTCGTCTTGTAGTACATGAGCTCGCACCCGATGACAATGTCAAAGTCGCCGACCGTCGACGGCCCAGGCCCCCACAGCAGCTGACGCGCGGACGCGTTCAATGCAGGCTTGGCCGTCTGCACCGTGTGTTGCACGTTGCGTTGCGCGAGAGCGACCGCGCGCGCGTCGCCGTCCGTCACGAGAAGCTTCTTGACGGACGCCGTGACGGCAGTGACCGACCCCACCGCGCCGGTGCCGCACCCGAGCTAGCCATTGTGTGAGTGGGCAGACAGAGAGAGCCGTTGGTAGTACGTACTTCGACGAGGCGTGCGTCATGCAAGAGGGCGCGGCAGGGTGTCGACCCGAGGAAGCGTGCGAGGACGTGGGCGCCGGCGTAGACGCGGAGGCCCGTCGCGTCCTGGTTGGTCGAGTTGGCGCCAAGGCAGAGCTGGTTGAACTGGGCTTGGCGGTACTGATACATGGGAAACGTTCCGGTCGCACCAAAGTCGACGTCTTCGAGCGCAACGAGCGGGTCCATGCTTCGGCTTGCGTCCTAGGCGTGCAAAGGGAATCTGGATCTAAATTTGATGGCCCAGAAAGCGGTCGCGGGTGTCGCCCCGTGGAAAATGTGAAAAATCACGTTGAGCTCAAGGGCAAGGCGCTCTGGCGTGTGCAAGCCTGCAAGCCTCCGTGTTCCGATACCTGCTCCCATACGACTCATACAGCAAGGCAAGGTATACCTTGCAGTGCTTCAACTCGCCTGCGCTTTGAAGGCCGCGCTTCCGGCCTCGGCGCCGGCGACCATCACATCATCTTGGCATGCGACAACCCCGGTGATTTCTCGGTGATTTTGCAGCCACGATTCGCTCGAGCCATTTTAATGTTAGGGCTGTGACGATTATCCGGAAATCGCGCGCTTCGTCGCCTGCGAGCTGCAAATATTTCGGCATCGAGCGCTGCGCTTGACGTACCTTGGTGTGATCTACTAAGTTAGGGTGTGCAATGTAGTCTACATATACCTCAGCTGCTTGGCCTCTTGTTGCGACTCGGCATTGACCACCGAATAAAAATTTAGAGATCAAGCGTCGCCAGAGCCAATCAGCGCGTACTTCAACCACGGCTTTTCTACCAAAAACACACGCGTGTGTTTTTTACAAGCAAAGTGTGAAATGGGTGTGAAAAAGACCCCGGGGCACGGGGCGAAAGAGCGTATGGACCCCGGGGCATGAAAGCCGATTATTTGGTTGCTGGTGTTCGAATTCATCATCTCATTTGAGCGGACGACGAGCAGCAGCATGCCCCACCCGCGCTTCCCGAAGATCGACATCCAAGAGCTCCGCGACGACTTTATTAAGTTCGAGCTCAGCGAGACGGATACGAGCGTCGCCAACTCGATCCGGCGCGTCATGATCGCCGAGGTCCCGACGCTTGCGATCGACCTCGTGAGCATTGAGATCAACACGAGCGTCATCACGGACGAGTTCCTTGCGCACCGCCTGGGCATGATCCCGCTGGCCTTTGATGGCGGCCTCGAGGGCTTCAAGAAGCGCTTTGTCTACTCGGCCGACTGCGACTGTGACGAGCACTGCCCGCACTGCAGCGTCGAGCTCGAGCTGGACGTGCGCGCCGAGTCGGGCATGCAGACCGTGACGTCGCAGTCGCTGCGGTCGCTCGACCCGTACGTGCACCCGGTGCACTTTAGCTCGGAAGAGGAACTCAACAACACACAAGACTCGGGTGTCATCATCGCCAAGCTCGGCCCGGGCCAGCGCTTGAAATTGAACGCGCTCGCCAAGCTCGTACGGCGCGCAGGCGTGATGGACATGGCGCGCTCATCTCGACAATTAGGGTATCGGCAAGGAGCACGCCAAGTGGTCGCCAGTCGCTGTCGCCACGTACATGTTCGAGCCCATCATTACGCTCAACCAGAGTACGCAGTGCCATCGTGCGCGCTTGAGGCTTATAGGGTGTGCATTGTAGAGGTCCTCAGCACTTACACGAACGAGCAGCGCGTCGAGCTCTACAAGTCGTGCCCGACGCGTGTCTTCGAGATCGACGATACGTACGACCAGGTAGGCCATCCATGCATGTAGCAGCACTCGGAACGAACTTACGAACTTCACCATGTTCCCTAGATCCAAGTCGAAGATCACATGCGTTGCATGTACTGCGACGAGTGCGTCAAGCTTGCGGAGAGCTACTTGGAGAACCCGGAAGACGACGCGGCCGTGACGGTGACCATGACGCCCGACAAGTTTATCTTCTCTGTCGAGGCAAGACCAGGTTCCTCCTCATTTCTTCTCATGACCAGTGCCACGATAGACAACGGGCCAGCTCAAGCCGGAAGAGGTCGTCATTTGCGCGCTCGATATCATCAAGGACAAGCTCTCGTCACTGAAGCACCAGTGCCTCGAGCTCTCGCAGGACGAAGGCATGACCAGTCACCAAGCGCCCATGACGCCGTTCGGCTAGATGCAATCTCGTGCCACTCCATATATTCTTCTTTTGGCTACATGTCGCGTTTCGTCGGCACCGCGCGCGGGTCGATGACATTCCAGTCGAGCATCGACGCGGTGAGCACCTACAGAGCTGCATGACGAGTGTCGATGGCGGTGCAACGTACCGGTGGCTGTGTGCGTGACGGCTCGGCATACGTTGGCAATACGTGGTCCATGAGCGTCGCGTCATTGGTCGACACCCGGGGCGTCGCCATCATTTGCTGCTGACGCAGCCTACAATACCACGTCATCTCGAGACTTCAGATAAGAACAGTCCGCCGACGTACGCTTGCAGCTCGGACTCGAGCGCGGTACACGAACCGAGCTCTGGGTGCTCACTGAGCGCAACGAGGTTGCCAAGCATGTCGGACACGTGCAAGTCGGCGAGCACCATGCCCTGGGAGACGCAGAGGTAGAGCACATTGTGCTCAAGCATTTGGGTCGCGCGCTCAAAGCCAAGGCTGCCGTCAGGGTACAACGTGTGGCAGCCCGCGCCTTCGTCGCTCGTTTCGCGGCCGATCGTCGACATGGATCCGTTGTGCACCATTGGGTACGGGTACACGAGCGGGCTCAAGTACTTGGGGAGCACGAGGAGGAGGTGGATGACGCGGCCGAGGCCGGCAGCGACCACGTCCGGCGGGAGACCCTCGTAGCGCCCCGAGATGGGCAGCGGAAGGTGCATGATCGTGCGAAAAAAGGGCGATTTGTCGGCAGGAATGACCTTGACAAGCTGCAGCAGCTGTAGCACCTTGGTACGCCGCACGGCCACGAGGTTCTACACGGCAAAGCGTCAACATGTCCAAGAATGTGGAAGGAGAACCTGCTCGTTCCAGCGGGAGACGCGGTGGAGACCCTGCATGATAAAGTCCATGTCGGTTCCGGTCGCGTCGGCGGGCATTGTCTCGGCAAGCCGCGCTTTGGTGTGCGCCAGGAGATCGCGGCGCTTCCCCATCATGTGCAGCATCTTCGCGAGCTTGATGCGCTCTAAGGACGTTGTTGACATGCATGGGTTGCTGTAGCGAATGCAATACCAATGTCAAGCGCGCCTTTGAGCGTGAGGAGCGCGGCCTCGTCACGCGCCTCGTCCTGCGCCAGCATGTCGTCGTCGTCGTCGGGCTCGCCAGGCGCGTCGTCCTTGAGCGACGACGCAGCCTTCTCGCGGAGCACAGCGACGTCGGCCCGTAGCGCCGTCAGCATCGTGCGCTTCTGCTGGATCGTGCTCGACGCGCAGTTGGCGCAGAGCAGGTAGACCTGGTCCTGGGACTTGGCGCAGCCGCCGCACTGCATATCTTGTTTTCTGGCATCTTGCCGTGTTGATCACAAAAATACCGTACATTTCGTTAAAAATACCGTCAAGATGGAGCAAAGAATGCACGCCATCCTTCTGAGGTGCCGATTGGCTACGTATACACCAATCGGGTCGCGACCGAGCTCGCTTGTTAAGTGCGATCTGTGGATTTAGAATTATACTACCTTCTATATGTCACGTACCTATTGGAGACAAGTCGCACTTGACAGATCGTATAAATGACGGTTTTGGCGCGCTTCCCGGTCGGATCGGAACGAATTGCCTTTTCACAGTGCGTACGGGACCACCTTGCTCTGGTACAGGACAACCACTCTTTATTACAACGCATTTGCTTGAAAGCATCAACAGATCTAGTGATGGTAAACTGTCCTCCAGCTTTTACGCCGTGTCATTTTTCTAGAAATCGAACCACGCAACGCAGGCCGAGAGGCGGCGTCTTATACAACTACTGCTCGGGCCTCGTCACAGCGCACGCTGTGTACCTTATGAAGCCGGCGTCAACGGATCTAGTGATAGTAAGCTCTCCTCCAGCTTTTACGCCTGCGTTCAATAGTTCAGCTCGCAACAATTTGTTTTTAGGAGCTCTTTAACGACAAGTTTTTCATTCGAAACCTTTCGTTTTGCATGGCAGACGATCGAAACACGCTCGTTTGGTACCGGTATTTGATATTTCTCTGGCAGCTATTCCAAATCCAATAGTGTAGGCCGGTGCCTGCCGTGGTCGTCGCTTGTACCCTTTGCCGACATGCTCAACCACAACAACCACGCCACCATGTATGCGTACGAGAACAAGACGCTCGAGTGGCACTCGTCCATCGGGTACAAGCGCGGCAACCAAGTCTTCAGCCGATACGGCCGGCGCCCCAACCGTACAACATCAATGCTATCTCGTACACATTTCATAGCTTGCACTAGACCAACTGTTGCTCCACTACGGTTTTGCGCTGCGTGAAAACGCTGTGGACTATATCACCTGCACCTCGCGGTGTCGTACCCGAGTGCCTTGTCCAAGACGGAGCACCGCGCGGTCCTCAGCAAGACGCACCGTATGCCGTTCAAGACCAACTTCCGTCTTACGCACGACACGTCCGTTGCGTCACTGCTAGCGTATATATATATTTGATTATTGTTGTTAGAAAGATTTGACCGACCGTGTCGTCACGGGCCTCACCCGCGGCCACAAGCGTCGTAGGGCGACGACAGAAGAGCCAGACGAGCCCCCGCGCCGCTGCCTGCGCAGCCACGGCCCGGCGAGCGAATGAAGAAGGAGATTGCTAGTCTCTATTAGTACACACAGACTTCGCATACGTACTAGTAACTATGAAGATAACGCGAAACACGTTCATATATATATTATTGTTGGCTCCACTACTCCAATCGACTTGCTTATGTTTGACGCTTGCGCTTGGTCGCGAGCAAGCGCGTGAGCAGCGCCCGCGCCGTTACCGTCACGTCAGTCGCGTTGAGATGACCAATCCCAATAGCCAACGCCCCGTCAACCACGTTGCCAGATTGCAGCAGTGCAGTCGTGGGTGGCCTCGCGTGCAAAGTAAATGTCACCAAACATAGAGAAGTTGCGTGCACTTGGCATGTTGGACTATCTTATAATGCAATTGCACGCAACTTTAACGTCACGATCCTTCTTACTATTCGACTCGAGCTGCATTCCTCGTAGGCAAACTGGCGCGGTGCTAGGAGGTGTGCTGCTGTACGCATCATGATGGTTTCACAATGGCTGTTGGTGCAGCTACATTTGGATTCACCAGCAACCTTGCCCCGTAGTGCTTGTTGAGGCTGAAGCGCGGTTGTTCTACACGCCTTGACCACACGAGCCGTGGTCAATAAGACATGGACCCAAGCAGCAGGCGAGGCTCTATCGTAAATATACGCCCTAGGGACTTTGGTGAATGTGTGATCTACGTCTACGAGGCGAGGCAAGGGAGAGGTTTGTCCGCACGAGCGTGTCGAGAAGTTATGAAACTCCAGCGATGGTCTTGGTCCGTTTCGCCTCGCGTTGAAACACCGTCGAGCGTCGACACTTGTCAATTTGCCAACCATGCACCGTATTGCGATCGTCCTTAGTGCGCTCGTACCCATCGTCTTGGCTTCTGGCGAAGGAGGCGAGCGCGGCTATGGCGGCTACGGCGGCTACAGTGGCTACGGCGGCTACGGCTCCAACGCGTGCTCGCAACTAACCGACTGCGTCGTCAAACCGTGCTACATCGTCAAGTGTCTCTACGGCTCGTGCGTCTACGACAAGCAGCCGTATGGCACCAAATGTCCGGGCAAGGGCGACTTGAACAATGGCTCTTGCGACGACGACGCCAACGACTTTTGCGACGACAGCGGACAGTGCAATGACGCCTTCAAGCCCGCTACGCACGTGTGCCGCCCCGCCGCCAACGTCTGCGACGTGCCCGAGCTGTGCGATGGCAGCTGCAGCTTTTGTCCGACCGACCAATTTGCCGCCAAGAAGACGGTCTGCTCGTCCATTGGCGCGTCGTCGGGTGGCCTCTGCGATAGCGTCGACTATTGCGATGGGCGAGGCCGCTGCGTCGATGGCTTTCGGCCTGCTGGTAGTGTCTGCCGCGCCGCCGTCGATGTGTGCGATGTGCCCGAAACGTGCTCTGGCAAAACCGGTGCATGCCCCGCCAACAAGTTTGCAGCACAGACCACCGTGTGCACTGCGATTGGCAAGTCATCCGGAGGTCTCTGCGACTGCGTTGACTACTGCAACGGCAGGGGCAAGTGTATCGACAGCTTCAAGCCCACGGGTACTGTCTGCCGGGCCGCGACCGATGTGTGCGACGTGGCCGAAACGTGCTCGGGTGCGAGTGGCGTCTGCCCCGCCGACGCCTTTGCACCAAAGACGACTGCCTGTACGTCGCTTGGCAAGTCGACGGGCGGCGACTGTGACGATGTCGACTACTGCAACGGCAATGGCAAGTGCGTCGATGGCTTCAAGCCTAAGGGTAGTGTGTGCCGCGCCGCCGCGAATGTCTGTGATGTCGCCGAGACCTGCAATGGCTCCAACGGCAACTGTCCCAGCAATGCATTCGCGCCCAAGACCACCGTGTGCACGAGTATTGGCAAATCCACGGGTGGGCTCTGTGATGGCGTCGACTACTGCGACGGGGACGGCTGCTGCATCGATGGCTTCCGCGCCGCTGGTGGCGTTTGTCGCGCGGCCGTCAACGTTTGCGATAAGGCCGAGACGTGCTCTGGCAAGAGCGGCGCCTGCCCGTCTGACAGCTTTGCCAAGAAAGGTACCGACTGCTCGTCAATTGGCCTCTCGTCCGGCCGTCTTTGCAACGAGAAGGACACGTGCGACGGCCGCGGCTGCTGCGTCGAGACATACAAGCCCGCGGGTACCGTCTGCCGGCCCGCGGCGTCCGAATGCGATGTGCCCGAGGTGTGCCCGGGCAACTCAGGCGTATGCCCCAAGAACGCTTTTGCGCCGTCGACCAAGGCGTGCAACGGCAAGTCCACCGGCGGCGCGTGTGACGGCGACGACACGTGCGACGGCAACGGCGCCTGCGTCGACAAGTACCTCGACGCACACTCGTTGTGCTACCATAAGCAGGGCGTCTGCGACGGCAACGTCTTTTGCGACGGAACGTCCGCCGTGTGCCCGGTCCCAAAGGCCTACACGCTCCTCACCGCGCAAGCGTTGCGCAGTTGTGCGACCTCCGTGTCAAGATTCACGTCGACGTCGCTCGCGTCACTGTACGAAGCGAGCGTGACGCGATATGGCGTGGTGTTGCTCGTGTCGTGTCTGTGTGTCTCTGCGCTTGCTGTGTTTGTGGCCAGAAAGGCCCGCGTGTCCGAAGACGACGCGTTTGCCTACTACCTCGAGACGTAGGCAACTTCAACCTGAAATATACCGTGTTTTTCCAGGAAATCGGTAGAAAAAGCCGTGAAAATACCGAATGTTTTCGATTTTTTCTGCGGCGGAGCATTCGAAAAGCACACTCGACGAAGCGATGGCTGGCCGACGCATCCAAACCCCGAAGCGCACGCAGCCGACGAAGGGCGCGCCCCGCGGCAAGGGCATCCCCAAGACGTCGGACCTCATCGGCGTCGCCTCCGTGCCCCTCTCGGAGCGCTTCACGCAGCTGCATTCGGCGCCAGCACAGACAGCGCCCAAGAAGAAGAAGAAGGCGGCCGTGGTCGTCGGCGCGGCCCAGAAGGCGAAGCGCCAGAATGCTGTGAACGCCCGCCGCGGCATTGCGCCGGCGCCGCTCGCTAAGCAGCAGCTCAAGGCCAAGCAGACGGCTGCGTTGGCCAAGCCGTCGCTGAGCCGCACCAAGGGCGGCGTCAAGATCAACAACCTGCGTGGCGGCAAGCGCCAGGGGCCTGTGAAGCGCCTCGCCAAGCCCGCCCCCGTCAAGAAGGAAGAAGACCTCGATATGGACATGGACACGTACTGGTTTCAGGCAGGAAAAGGCCCGGACCCGAAGCAGAAGCGCCTCGACGACCAAATGGACCAGTACTGGGCGAGCAAGCCCGTCGAAGTCGCGCCCTAGTCGCTTTTTTATGTGTACTTGGGCCATGTATATGAATGCGCTTGTTTGTTTTGCGATATCTCCTTGCTTGGTTCTACCGACGCCAAGCTTGTGGTGGAATCAACGGCAGTCCCATTCCTCTTCTTAATCGTACAAGGCAGGATCGACGTGCATGCCATCAAGCTTCTTTTTCCACGTCGTCCACTCGACCGCGGTCGCCAGCGGCTGAATGACGTCCATGGCGTCTTTGGCAATCTGCTTGTAGCCCTACGAGTGCGGTATGAGCCTCCTCTGTCGCCGTGCTCGCCCGTACGCTCGAGTTGAAGTGAATGCCGTCAAACGCCTTGGCTTCGGGGCGGCGCACCATCGGAATCGCAAGGTCGGGGGCGCACATGACGGGTAGCTCGTCATGCTGCGTGCTACAAGTCAGGGTGACGCGTCGTTCCGACAATGGAACGTCGTACTCGACGCAAAAGTCGCGCAGGAGCTTGTTGGTCGCGGTATGCTTGACGTTAATCGCCTTGATGTCCGAGTGGCAGAGTGTGCCGACGGCGACGCGCTTCCCCTTCTTCGTCAATGCGTCGCAGATACTCTTGATGTTGCGCAGCGTCACCTCTGGCTCAATGGGCGGTGATCGTCTAATGTATGTTCATGAGTTTCGACAGTCTAGCGTCGTTTGGCGGTACTGGGCGTCCATGGAGCCAACGACGACGAGTACAATGTCGGCGTCGCGGTATTCCTTCTTGGAGAAGACCGTTTGAAAGTACTAGAGGCGTGTGAGGTCTTGGGCGCGCACCTACGATTGTGTTTACCTTGGTGTCGGCCATGGGCGTCCACTGGGACGAGTCGGTGTCGACAATGCCCCGGTTGATGACCTGCCAGTTGTGGCGGATCTACACACTATGTGAGCCAAGGCGGCTATGCGCACTGCTTGCCTTGGCTTCTTGGGCCATTGCGGCGTGGAGGTACTTGGCGAGGCCACCAGGCGAGTCAAAGTTGATGTAGTCGCCATACCCAGCTGCAAAGCCGTCGCCGATGATGACGATCTTGTGGCGGTACTCGCTGGTGGGCAGGATCGCGCGAGGTGGCTGCTGGATCCAGCGGCAGAGCCGCAGCCAGAGCCATGCACAGTACGAGCGCACGATCACGTAGAGGTACAGGACGATGGCTTGCATGGTCGATCGGTCGACGGGGTGGTCGAGAAGATCCCCAAAATCCAACTGCTCGGAATCCAGTCTGCGGCACACGCGATTCCAGAATTTCTGCGGCATAATATTAAATTCGGAGTACGGGCCCATGATCTCTCTATTTGTATTAAACATTTGTTTCTAGTATTATAATACGCAATCCTCCAGTCCAGCGTTACGCACGCACACTATTTCCATTGCATACTATTATGGGAGAAGATTTCGAACCATCGTCCGATCCTCTTGACTGCTACACTGCTGCGATGGACCCCATGCTGCACACATGAGACTTTCAACGCGCGTGCATGTAATGCGACTGGCACTGCTGTGGCCATTCGCCATTGTTTCACGCTTGCTTTCCGACTCTGCTGAAAGGACAGCCTTCAGCAGCAGCTGCGCCGAGCTTAGTGTGTCTGTTCAATCCTGCTCTCAGACTATGCTCATGCCTGGTGCTAAACTGAATTCGAGCGGCCGCAGCATGCGTACCTGCACTCGGCGCCTTCTGCATGACCACCGAGGTATCGAGGCTGTGGATCCACGGGAGTACACTATTTCCGGGACGTTGGATCGCGGGGTTTGGCTGGCGACGTTTGATTGGTGCAAATGCGCATGAAACGCGGTCGTGGATTGGCCGAGAGGTAAAAAAGAAGAGGCCCGCAGGATCGCCGTGTATAGTTTTTTGCGCAAGTGACTGCAGCGACGACGACGACCATGTCGGGCAGCCACCTCTCCAAGGACTTTTTCGAGCTCGTCAAGAGCATCGGCGAGAGCAAGTCCAAGCAGGAGGAAGATCGCATCATCGTGCAGGAGGTCGCGCAGCTCAAGCGCAAGATGTCGGAGCTCAGCGTGGCCTCCAACTCGAACCAGCTCCAGGCCAACAAGAAGAAGCAGAAGGAGTTCCTGATCCGCCTCATGTACGTCGAGATGCTGGGCCACGACGCGAGCTTTGGCTACATCAAGGCTGTCGAGATGACGGCCGCGACCAACTTGATCCAGAAGCGGGTGGGGTACCTCACGTGCTCGCTGACGCTGTCGCCGGCCCACGAGTTTCGCTTCATGATCATCAACCAGCTCCAGCGCGACTTGCAGTCACCCAACCACCTCGAGGTCTGCTCGGCACTCATGGCCGTGTGCAAGCTCGTGACGGTCGAGATGATCCCTGCGGTCCAGCCCATGATCATGGAGGCGCTGCGCCACGAGATTGAACTGGTCCGGAAGAAGGCTGTCATGGCGCTCCACCGCTTCCACCAGCTCAACCCGGACAGCGTTGCCGACATGGGCGACACGCTCCGACGGACGCTCTGCGACCGCGACCCGAGCGTCATGGGTGCTGCGCTCTGCCTCCTCCACGACGTGGCCGTGGTCAACCCCGCCGCGTACAAGGACCTCGTGCCGTCGTACGTGAGCATCCTCAAGCAGATCACGGAGCACCGTCTCCCGCGCGAGTTTGACTACCACCGCATTCCCGCGCCGTGGATCCAGATTCGTCTCCTCAAGATCCTCGCGCTCCTCGGGCAGGCCGACCAAACGACGAGCGAGGGCATGTACGAAGTACTCCACGACGTCATGCGCCGCGCCGACACGGGCATCAACGTCGGGTACGCGATCATCTACGAGTGCGTGCGCACGGTCACGACCATTTACCCGAACTCGACGTTGCTGGATGCGGCCGCGGCCAGCATCTCGCGCTTCATCTCGAGCGACAACCATAACCTCAAGTACCTCGGCGTCACGGGCCTCGCCGCAATCGTCAAGGACCACCCGCGGTAACGAGTATCTCTTCCGCGTTGCATCGAGCGCTCATTGTGTGTGCTTCTAGGTACGCGGCCGCCCATCAGATGGCGGTCATCGACTGCTTGGAAGACCCGGACGAGACGCTGAAGCGCAAGACGCTCGACTTGCTGTACCGCATGACCAACCCGGTGAACGTCGAATTCATTGTCGCCAAGCTCACGAGCTTCTTGCGCGAAGCGACCGACGTGTTTCTCCGGACGGAGCTCGTGTCTCGCATCACGCAGTGCGCCGAGCGCTACGCGCCCAACAATGCGTGGTACATCCAGACCATGACCGACGTCTTTGAGCTCGGTGGCGAGCTCGTCAAGGTCGAGGTCGCGCACAACCTCATGCGCCTCATCGCGGAAGGCAGCGGCGACGACGAGGAGCAGGACATGGAGCTGCGCCGCGACGCGGTCGACACGTATCTGGAGCTTCTCGAACGGCCCGTGCTGCCCGACATTCTCGTGTGCACGATGGCGTGGGTCCTTGGCGAGTACGGGTACCTCTCGGAGGCAATGGACCTCGACGAGATTGCCGAGCGCCTCTGTGAGCTCGTGGACCGGCCGTTCGAAAACGAAGACGTCACGCGGGGGTACATCGTGACGGCCGTGACCAAGCTCACGGCGCAGATGCACGGCCGCGAGATTGACGCAGCGCGCGCCATGATGGAGAAGTACAAGACGAGTCGCAGCATCGACTTGCAGCAGCGCTGCCTCGAGTACCTCGCGATGCACGCGCACCCGGCGCTCATGGCGACTACGTATCCCGTCGACGCGTCGTGCGAAGACCTCGAGGTCGACAGCACGCTGAGCTTTCTCCAAGCATTTGTCGACCAAGCGCTCGCCCAAGGCGCGCCGCGCTACGACCCGCCCCACGACGACGAAGAAGAGGCGTACAGTCGCCACAACGAGTCGCGCCTCAACTTTACCGCGTATGAAAAGCCGGATTTGCCGTACGCTGGCCACAAACTGCCGCCCAACGACCCGGCCGCGATGCTCGGTGGGTACGGAGGCGCGGCCGCGCCAGCGCCATGGGGTGGCACCCCGAACGCGACCGACGCTGGCGGCTTTAACGCGCGCAAACCGTCGGTCAAGAACGTGTGGGGTCCGTCAGGCATGAATGCACCGGCCGCGCCCGAGCCGACGCCGGCGCCGTATGGTGGCCAGCCCAACAACCCGTATTACAACAACAACAACCAAGGCCACCACCACCAAAGCCAGTATGGACAGTCGCCGGCGCCGGCGTACTCACCCGACCACAGCACGCACTACAACGAGAGCGACGAGGACCAGGAGCCCGACGAGCCTGTGATTGACAAGCGCGCCGAAATGGCCAACGCGCTTTTTGGCGGACTTCCGGGCGCGGGGGTCCCTCTTCCGGCGGCCAAGCGGACGAGCACCAACCGCGGCACGCTCTCGCGCAAGAGCACGGTCAAGGGTGCGTCGGCGGTCTCGGCACCGCCCAAGCGGAGATCGACCAAGCCCGAGCAGCCAGTGCAACCGCAGCCATCGTACCAAGCGGCACCGGCGCCCGTGCATATGGACCTTCTTGACATGTCGTTTGATGCACCGGCCGCACCGTCGTACGCGCCGCAGACCAGTGCGCCGATGCTCGACCCGTTTGCGAGCGCGCCGGCGCCGGCACCCGTCGCGGATCCGTTCCAAATGGGTGGCCTCGGAAGCAGCCTTCCGTCGGCGACGCCAGTGTTTCAGTACAATGGCCGCCCGCTCGAGCCGTGGCAGATCACGACGCCCGAGTTTGGCGGCCGCTGGGGCTCGTGCCCGGCCGAGATCAAGACCAAGGTGAGCCCGAGCTCGATTGTGACTCTCGACGACTTTTGCGCGCGCCTCCGCCAGTTTGACATCAACGCGGTCGAATCCATTGCCCAGAGTACGCCAAAGTCTTTGCACGAGTCGGTTTCTGATGGTTTGTGTGTAGCGAACGAAGTCATTGCGGCCGGCCGACTCTTGAGCTCGGATGTGGTGTGTCTCATCCACTGCAAGGTGCGATCGGGCGGGTTGGACCTCACCGTGCGGACGCCCGATATGGCCTTTACGAACGCACTCAGCGGCTTTCTGGGCCACGTCCTGCAGTAGACCGGTCTGGGATGGACAACAAGGATGACGTACATAAGGGTCGACCTGTTCGTACTTTACTTTTTTGTTGTGCTAGTCGATCCAGAGTACACATATGTCGTGAATGTACTCTAGTAAAGACTCTAGTTCAACTTGTAGTGAATGCGGTGGCATGTCCGATGAGCTGCCGTCCCAGTTTGTATCAAGTTTTCAACAAGCCTGCCCGTCGTCGCCGTAACCGGTTGGGGGTGGCGATGGATCGCAAGGATCTTGGGCGTTTCATCTATGCTGCGATTGGATTGGACAAAATGAAGCATTTTCGCTGCATTTGGTTGGCTATGTTCACGGAATTCGGAAATGGATCTTGGGAGGATCCGGGGGCAGTTAGTTCCAATATTCGCTCAAGGGGCACCGACGACGATGGGGCAGCTCGAGAAGGACGACGGAGGTCTCGACGAGAGCAGCAACGACGTGCTTCGACTCCTGGACCTCGGCCCCAGCCTCACCAAGCTACCCCCGCGGGTCATGGACGCGGACGCCGCCGGGGGGTGGGCGGCGCAGGAAGGACCGCAGCTCGAGGCCGTCGTCGACGCGGTCGATACGACCAACGGGCTCTTCCTCCATATCTCCAAGCTCGCGAGCGACATGTGGCGGAAGGAGTCGGAGACGGAGACGCCGTTCGCCGCCGTCGCGCTTCCGACCTCCGACTTTGACGTGCGTCTTGGCTCGTATCTCAAGCACCTCACGCAGCTCGCGGTCGCGACCAAGAAGGAAAAGCACAAGCACGAACAGCGGCTCCTCGCAGTCCGAAGCGTCTCCAAGAGCCAGCGCAAGGTGAGCCCACCGCCGCTGCCGCTGCCGACGCAGAACTGCATGGTGCTTGGGTGGGACATGGCGATCGCGCTCTTGCGGGCAACACGGCGCGAAGGCGGCGACACGTACCTCTCTGCGCTACGCATGATCCAAGACAACATGGCGTCGCTCAAGCCAATGGCGTACCTCGACGGTATGTATCTCTCACCGAGTGCAAGTGCGTCGTTCAACCAGCTCTGCGACTTTCTCATCGAGGCTGCCGAGCCTGTACCGTCTCCGAACGACGAGATGGAGGCCAGTGTCTCGCGCACGACGATTTCGACGCTGGCCGAGCTTGCTCTTGTGCGCGGGTCACTCGCGTACCTGCTCTCGTCCGTGCTCTGGATGCTCTCGCGGTCGCCGGCCACGACCCTCGACGTCAACCACGTCCTCTCCAAGCTTTTGTCGATCAAAGAGCAGTCGCTCTATGGGATCTGTGAAGCGTCCGGGGAGCTCTACTGCTGCGGCCAAAACTCGTACGGCGAGCTCGGTATTGGCGACGACATTGAGCGCCATCAGCTCACGTTTGTACCGTTTGGTGGCTGGGACGACATTCGACAGGTCGTGAGCGGCAACGAGATCCTCGCGGTCCTCACCAACAGCGGCATCGTGCTCACCGCGGGCCTCAACAAGAGTGGCCAGTGCGGCCACGGCCACTTTGACGAACGCGTTATGCTACTCCGGCCGATCGAGGCGCTTCGCTCGCAGCGCGTTCGGTTTCTCGCCGCGTCCAACGGCTGCGAACACATGATTGCCGTCACGGACTCGGGGTTAGCGTACTCATGGGGCTACAACGACCGCGGTCAGCTCGGCCACGAGAACGTCACGACCAAGATCCACGTGCCCAAGCTCATCGACCACCTCCGCGATAAGAAGGTGACGTTTGCAGCCGTGAGCTACCACCACAGCGCCGTGATTACAGAGAAAGGTGAGCTCTTTACGTTTGGCATGAACGACTGCGGGCAGCTCGGGCACGACTCGACCGCCCACCAAAGCATTCCGACGCACGTCAAGGCGCTCGATGGCCACGTCGTATCGATGGTGTCGTGCGGCTTGTACCACACAATCGTGTGCACGGCCGTTGGCGAGCTCTACACGTTTGGCAAGAACGACTATGGACAGCTCGGGCTTGGCCACAACCGAATGAGCAAACTCCCGAGCCTCGTGTCGATCCCGAACGAGTCGATTGCGTTTGTCACGTGCGGCTACTACCACTCGCTCGTCGTCGGGACCAGCGGCCGCGTCTTTGCGTTTGGCCGCAACGACTATGGGCAGCTCGGCATTGGCACCAAAGTGCACCAGAGCATGCCGCACGTCATTACACTGGCGCCGACCGTGCGCGTGACGCGCGCCGCGTGCGGCTGCTACCACACGGTCATTCTCTCCGAGCAAGGCCACGTGTTTGCGTTTGGGCGCAACAACAAGGGTCAACTCGGAAACCGCGGCAGCACCGACTCGCTCTTGCCCGTGCCGCTCATGGTGCGGCCAGAGAAGAGCCATCGCCGCGTGCTCGACATTGCCGCGGGCTTTTACACGACGTCGCTGATTGTCGAGCGCAAGAAAGAGTCGGACGACGACGACAAGAGCGACCAGAGCTGGGTCATTCCGCTCTGTGGGCGCATCGACATTGACCGGTCTGGCGAAATTGAAGGTTTGAGCAACTTTGGGTCCCTCTCGACGGTCGGCGTGAGCCTCACGCGCGGCGCGTGGTTTTACGAAGTCGAAGTTGTCACGTCCGGCTTGATCCAAATCGGCTGGATCGACGGTCATTTTCAAGGCAGCTCGGACCAAGGCGAAGGCGTCGGGGATCACGCACATTCGTGGAGCTACGACGGCAACCGCCAGCGCCGTTGGAACTCGGGGTCGTCGACGTATGGCGACAAGTGGAAGGCTGGCGACATAATTGGGTGCCTCCTCGACCTCGAGGCTTCCGAAATGCGCTTCTTCCGGAACGGCATCGACCTTGGCGTCGCCTACGCCGAGTTCCACCCGTCGTTGGAGGACGCACGCAGCGGCATGATGCCGGGCATTAGTCTTGAGCGCGGCGAGATCATCCGGCTTAACCTCGGGCACACGGCGTTTGCTTTTCCGCCGACGGCCAAGCACGAGAGCGTCGCCCGCGCGATGCAGTGTCCCGCCCCCGAAGTCGCCATGTCGCTCGCACCACACGTGCCGACAAATGCACCCGAAGCGCTTCACGGCTCGGCCAAGGTACTCGTCGGCGATCGTCTCTTTGTCATTGGCGGTATGCTGGCGAGCGACAAGGACGCCGCAACGACGAAAGTGTGGGTCTGCCACCTCCCAACCAACAAGTGGGACCGTTGGAGCGACCTCCCGATCCCGCTCAAGTTTCACCAAGCGGTGCTCATCGATGAGCACAACATTCTCGTCGTCGGTGGTGAAAACGACGCGCCCGTGTCGCGCCATCTCGACTTGTACAAGTGTTCGACAAGAGCAAATGCCGATGGCTCGTTTCCGACCTGGGACCTTATCCAAGGGTCGTCGGCCACGTCGCTACCGGTGGCGCGAGCCCACCATACGGTCGCCGCCGTCCGCGTCCGGCTGGAGACGCTCGTGTTTCTCTTTGGTGGTCGCGCGTCGGACGATACGATCCTCGGCGACGCGTGGTTTCTGTCGATTGAAGACTTTGCGTGGGCCAAATTGCCGTCGTCGATTGCATTGGACCCAGGGCCGCGCATGGGGTGTGCGTCGTGCGTCGTCGGCGAAAGCGTCTACGTATTTGGTGGTGTCGACAAGGAAGACCGGCTGCGCGCGGACCTCTGGCGCTACAATACGTTTGACCGCGTTTGGCACCTCTGCCACGACGACCACATTTACACCCCCCGCGAGCACATGAAGGGCGACAAGATGCAAGAGTTCAATCCGCTCATGCCGTCGGTGCGCGCGCACCATGGCATGGCCTCGGACCTTGGCAACATTTGGATTTACGGTGGCGAGACACGCAAAGGTGACGCGCTCGGCGATCTTTGGGTGTTTTCACTTACACGCAGTACGTGGGCGTCGGTCGATGTGGTTGGCGCCGAGCCCCTCGCGCACGCCGCCCTGTTTGTCGCTGCCGGTCGCGTCTGCGCCCTTCCTTCCGGCCAGGTGCCAGCGCCGCTTGCTTGCTTTCTCTATGGCGGTCGCACGGCGTTGCTTGAGAATGGTACTGCTGTGCCCACATGGACGACAACAATCCGACTTTTGACGCCATCGGCCGCGCACAAGCGTCTCGAGAACGGACGGTCGTCGCAAACGGTCGTCGGGAAACCGTCGACGGTCTTGGCGAGTTTACGTGCGCACGCGGGCGACGCGCAGTGTCTGCCGACGTGTGTCGACTCGGCAAGCTGCATTCTGGGCCACCTCGACCGCCTCCTTGGCAACGACGTGCCGCAGTACGAAGTCGATGCGATCCAGCCGTCGCGCTGCAGCTACCGTTCGCTGTGCATTGACGCCAAGGAGCCATCGTTTGCCGCGTTGCACCGACTTCTCTTGCTTTTGGGCACCAAGTACTTGGCGCCGCAGACCATCGCCTCGCAAGAGACACTGTACCCGCTCTTGGTCGTGCTGCGCTTGATCAAGTTCAACTTTTTCGAGGTTGGTACGAGGTGGAGAGACACTTGATTGACCTGTTTTTGTAGCTCTCGACGTCGTGTCTGGTGCTCGATGACTTGGGGTTTTCCTCGGCGTCAACAGAGCCAGGCGGTACGCTCTACTTGCTACGCGAGCTCCTCTTTTCGATTGCCGAGTACGTGCCGCCTGCCGACAACAATGGCGTCGGCGCAGCCATCAAGAAAGAGACTGTTGCGGCGATCAACTGCGGGTTTGCCATCATGTTTCCGTCGCTTCTCGACCGTCTCTCGGTGCTCACACGGCTCTTTAATGACCAAGCCAAGTCGACAGACGTCGCCAACTTGCTCTTGCCGATGCTTGTGCCGTCGTTTGCGTGTCCAAAGACACTGTTTGAGCTCATGGCCGAGTCGGTCGACAGCACATCACTAGCGATTACAACGTCGTTTGCCGAGACGCTCTTGCGCGCCCTCTGGCAGCAAACGCTGGCTGCAGCGCCCAACACTCTCTCGGCGCTCTCCAGTATTGAAGCGTCGTCCGAATTCCAGTGCTTCCACGTGCTTTTGCGCGCATCGCTTTTTTGGGCCGCGTCGAGTCTCCACGGGTGGGCCATCGCCAAGCACATTGTCGAGCGCTTGCTGCACTACATGGCCCAGCTCGTTGACGCGCTCAAGACGCCGTCGATGGTGCCCCCCGCGCTCTTTCTCCAGCAGAGTTTTGCAGGCAAGCTTCTTCCGTATACCCTCGTGAGCATTCTCAACCTGCCCTCGATTCGACCGACGTTTGCGAGCGCTGTCGAAGTATTGTGGCCGGCAGTGCAGGCGCTTCTGTCGGCCCTGCACGAGCTCATGACGTCGCTGCGACCCGGGTCCATGTCGCTCACGCCATCGTCGTCGCTCACACCAACGCTACCGGCAACGTTCCAAGAGGAGGCATTGTTTAGCACAGCGACGCTGCAGGTCACCCCCGCGCTTCTGGACGCGCTTCAAGTACCGTCGAACCGCGTGCTCAATGGCGTGGAGCTTGCGGGTCTGCTCTGGAACGCGGTCCGTGCGGGCAGCCCCGTGAAGCGGCTGCCAACCGCCAGCGTCCGCGACTACGACATTTACCGCGTCGTGCTCTCGCCGGGTTTCGCCAACGTCTTTGGAAAGCGCAGTCTTCTTGTCGGGTACCGTGGTCACCCCGATATGGACGACTTGAGCGACACGCCGTATGACGCGACCAAGTTTACATGGAAGTTTGCGTGGGATGCCCTCACTTGCCACGTTACGCTCTTGACACCGAGCGTGTTTCCACCGCCGGCGCCGTCGCAGGTCGTGTCTTCAACGATGGCGAGTCCAGAGCTCGCAGCGCATCTCGACTGGGTTCATGATTTTCAAAGCCTCTTGGCCCATCTGGGCGGGCAGTATGCGTCGGCGCTCATCATTGGTGACGCGTCGGCCAAGGACACGCCGGCGTCGCTCGAGCGCTGGATTCAGTCCCCGCTCTTCCGCGGCGGCCTCGACGATGTCGAGGGCGAGGCCAACCGCAACGATGTTCTCTTGTCGCAAATCCTTACCAACGATGGTGCCGGCAAGAAGCTCATCGACAAGGTCAAGATGGCTGTGGATCCTGACGCACACATCAACCCCAAGCTTCGCGCGACGCGCCTCAAGCGCCAAGACAGCGTGGAGCGAACGCTCGAGAAGAGCGGTGGTTTCGAGGCGGTGGACCGAGCTGTGCGCGCAACATTCGCGGTTCTCGCCAAGCACAGCCACACGTCGTACGTGAGCGACCCGCTCACGCGCGACGGAATGCCCAGCGATGCGCTCGTGGATGCCTGGCGCACGGCCCTGCAGCTTCGCCGATGGTATGAACACTATTGCGAAACTTGCGTCCAACGTGGTGTATAGGATCGTGCGGGAGCAGCAAAAGCTAGCGGTCACCTTGAGGTAGGTGATGAGGTTTCTACATTGGTGATGCTACAGCACGGAACATGGATAGTGATGGCAAGGTGCATGGCGATGACGCTACCGACGACTCGGAGGCGACCAAGGAACGGCAGCAAGTGCTCTACAAGCAAGTGTGCGACCCGATTGTTGAGCGTGCGCGCCTTTTGTTGCAGCTAGCACCAGTGCCCGTCTCGAGCGCAGTCGATCACGGCTCGTCGCCTTTCAAGATTCTTCCGGGCATCTCGCAGGCCCCATTCGACTTCGCGTCGCGCCAGGCTGCTGACGCCTCGACCAGTGCGAGCACTACCACGAGTGGCGACTCGGACCAAGAGCAGTGGCTGCGCCAACTCAACAAGCTCATGGAGACCAAGTCGCTCGAGATGATTGAAGAAGAGGACGAGAAGATCCAGACAGACATTTTTGCATTCCTCCAGCAGCCGGAAGGCGCCTCGTTCGACGCCGACATGGAGGCACTGCTTCGAAAGCACAAGCAGCGCGCACAGCAACGCCTCCATGGTCTTGAGATCTTTTTCACGCTGCTGCAATGCACAATGGGTATCCCGTCGGCTCGCTTTCACTTGCTTCCGACGCTCGCCGCGTCGTTTCGACGGTCCACATCGAGCGTCGACGCCCTCTCAACGACCAAAGTGCACTACTCGCACGAGCTCGAGCTCGCGGGTCGCAAGACCCTGGAAGCGATCGGGGGGCAGTTTTTCACGCTTGTATCACACCTCCTCGAATCGTCTTCGGCGACGATGCTGCACCTCAAGCACGCGTACTGCAGCGTCGAGGCGCGCAAGCCGTCGGTCCATGCGATGCACGAAGCCGTTCAAGACGTCTTGTTGGCGATGGACGTGTGTAGCATCCCATATGGGCCGCAAGACTGGTCGGCCGTGGGCCAGAGCTGCCTCCCGGCCTTTCTCACGGAAATGACGTCGTGGAAGGGCTGGCGGGACGTCTTCTCGATTGAAGACGTTGACGACGCGACCTCCATTGAAACCGACACGTTCAAGCCCGCGATCTTGTCGGCCGGCGTCGGTATGAGCCACGTGCGCTTTCTTCACGGCGCCAACGTCACAGTGGACACGGATACGCACATTGCCATGGCCCTCAAGAAGCCGTCGAGTCCCTTCACGGCGGATGTGCCGCTGCCAACCGATGCGGGTGGCCTCGCGATCGTTCAGCGCGTCTTTACAAAAGGGCGATGGTACTGGGAGCTCCTCTTGCGCCACCAGGGCACGTACCCCGTCTTTGTCGGGGTTGGCAACGCCACGGCCAACGTCAATACACCCTACAGCTCGGAGGGTGTTGTGGGTGTTGCATTTGCCAAGGAGAAAACCACATGCCCCGGGCTCCCGACGCTGGCGTGGTCGCGCACGCACCCGATTGGCGTGCTTCTCGACTGTGACGCCAAGACGCTCGACTTTTATGCTGGGTACAAAAAGGTGCACACGGTCTCGCTCCAGGGACTCGCTTTGCTCGGGCTTGGCGTGGCCCCAGTCCTTGGCCTCCTCGACAGCGACCTCCAGTGGGACTTGTATGCCCCAGTGCCGCCGCGTATCTGCGCCATGGGACCCAAGCTCACAACACCGTTTGTGGCGGGTGGTCTTACGAGCGAGACGTTTGGCGGCAGTACGTTGTGCTGGAGCGGCCTGCTTAAAGGCCCCAATCTGCAGCTCTCGGCCGACTGCTCGACAATCATTGCTGGCGATGTCATGATGGCGGCGCCCGTCCTCGAGTCGGTCATTGCCAACAAGAGTTTTCCGGACGGCCAACTCTACATGGAGCTCTCGGTGCTCTCCGTGGGTCGCCGTGGCCACGGGCTCCTCGTGCTGAGTATTGTCGACACGTCATTTTCTGCCGTCCACAGCGGCTTGTTGGTCCACGGGCTCTCGGTCGAGTACAACGACGACGAGCTTGAGCAAGACCTCATGGGCGTTCTCTTTGACTTTAACGAAGGCCGCATCACGCTCTACCAGAAGCGAAAAGAGGCGCTGGTGTACGCTGTGGACCTCTCGCTTCTCGAAGCGCCGTACGTGCCGGCGCTCTCGTGTCTCTGCAACGGGTCGGTCGTTTTGACCAACTTTCATCCTCGCGCGCGGCCGCAGCTACCTCTCTCGGCCGTGTACCCCGTCGCCAAAGGCACGTATGCAACGTCGATGGCCACCGAGAAGCAAGTGGGGAAAAATCTCGACTTGCTCGTCGTCTCGTGCGACGGCGGCGAGTTTAGCGTCTCCCACGCGGTGCCCAACCTCTTGCTCGACGACAATTCGGTCTATAGCTCGTCCGTTGGCGCCAACGTCAATGTTGTGTTGAAGCACATGAATGACACGCCGTTCACTGTGACGTACGCTACGCTGCGCGGTCCGGGCGCGGGCTACACGGCGCCGCTGCAACACGCAGCTGTCTTTGTGCTGAGCTCGCTCCCCGATTTGGAGGAGCTCGAACAGTACAATGGATTGACGCCAGAAGAGTTTGCCGGTCTCCCAGCTGCACCAAAGGACGCCCACGCCAAGCGCGACGAGACGCAGCCCGTGCTCTACTTTGTGCTGGACGGCAACTGCTCCCAAGTGTCCAAGCGACTCGCGACTCCGCTCACGGGTCGTTTCATTGTCGTCAAGCTCCTTCGGCCGGCTGTTGGCATGAACATTGACATTGGGTACATGGGCTTTTGCGGCGCGTTTGACAAAGAAAATGGACCTGCGTACAGCGACTTGTATTGGGACGACTACATGTGCGTCGAGTGCCACGCCTGTCCCGTGCCAGGCGTCTGCTACGTCTGTGAAGAAGACGAAACGATGAAGCTCTGCAGTATTTGCTATGACGACATGCGTGGCAACGTCGACGCAGCCCACTACGCGTGCATTGCGTGCGAAGACGAAGACCGCGAGACGGCCACGTCCATCTTGTGTCCAACGCGAGCCTCTTGGAACAGCACGGTCGCTGCTCTTTTCGAGCACAGCAAGCCGTCGGTGCCGGGCGACGACGCCATGAGCGGTCTCGGTCACTTGCTCACCGAGCCCGAAGAAGTGTACGAAGATGTCGAACTCTTTGCTTGTGGTCAAAACAACTATGGCGAACTCTGCCTCGGACACTGCAACTCGACGTCCAAACTCGAGCACGTCCCTCTGTTCACGTCCAAAAGCGTCAAGCAGATGACAGGCGGCAATGAAGTACTCGCGGTTGTGATGCGCGACGGTGTCGTGTACACGTGTGGCCTCAACAAGAGCGGGCAGTGCGGCAACGGTACGTTCGAGGAGCGCGTCGTCCTCGCAACGCCCGTCCGGTCGCTCTCGGGCATCCCTATTAGCATGGTGGCTGCTGCGAACGGCTGCGAACACATGATTGCGGTCGCTGTCGACGGCTCGGCGTACTCGTGGGGCTACAACGACCGTGGTCAGCTCGGCCTCGGCTCGACGATCTCCAAGTCGCACACACCCAAGCTCATCGAGTCGCTCCACGAAAAGTATCTCATTGTCTCGGCGGGCGTGAGCTACCATCACAGCGCCGTTGTGACAAGCAATGGCGAACTTCTCACGTTTGGTATGAACGACTGCGGACAACTCGGCTTGGACCACACGCAGCACCAGCACACGCCGCAGCTCGTCGATGCGCTGTCGAGCCAAGTCGTGACCAAAGTATCGTGCGGTTTGTACCATACCGTCATCATCACCGCGAGCGGCGACGTGTACACGTGCGGCAAGAACGACTATGGCCAACTGGGTCTTGGCCATGCGCGCAGCGTCAAGGTGCCAAACCACATGAAGCTCAACCCAAGCGAGAGCGACGAGAAGGTGCTTTCTGGCTGGAGCGGCTACTACCACACGACGCTCGTGACAGACAAGGGCAAACTCATCACGTTTGGTCGCAACGACTATGGCCAGCTCGGCATTGGCAGCAAGGAGCACAAGAATGCACCGCACGTTGTGCCTCTGCCACTTGGCGCCAAAGTTGTCTCGGCGGCCTGCGGCTGCTACCACACACTTGTGCTCTTGGGGAATGCGCACGTCATGGTGTTTGGCCGCAACAACAAGGGTCAGCTGGGGGCGGGGGCGCGCACGCTACCGTCTGCGGACCTTCCACTGCCGATTCCAACGTCGTCATACTCGGATGATGACGTGGTGGTGATCGCAGCGGGCTTCTACAGCTCGTACATTCTCACGGGCCGCAAGAGCGACGGGTCGAAAAAGTCACCGCCGAAAGACGACGCAAGCGCCAAGGAGGCGGACCAGCAAAACGTGTCGTGCGACGCGCTCTTCGAGTCGCTCATGCGCGAGATGGATCGGAATGCGCTTAGCGAGGCGCTGGACGAGACATCGCCATTGCTGCTGAAGCGCTCCAACACGTCCAAGAAACTGCCGCTGCTCAAGCTTCTCTCGGGCGCGTGGGCCATGACGCGTGCGCTCATGTACCAGTCGCTTCAGCACGTCTCGCACAAGGACAAGAAGCCAACGGTGAACACTGTCTTGCGAAGCTTCCTCGTATCGATGCTGCAAAACCTCGGCGACGCGTCGGCGCCGCACGCGACACCGGTGGCTAGCCCACACCAGCGTCTCTCGACCGAAGACGAAGGTTTCTTCAACCTCTCGGATGCGTGCGTCGGGCTGATCAAGTATTGTGCGTCCGAGCAGAGCAAGCCCGCGGACGGCCCGCACGTTCTCTCGCAACTTTTTAGCAACCAAGTGCTTTGGGTGCTCCTCGCATGCGGGTCGGTGAGCTCGGACGTGTGTTCCGTCATGGCGTCGAGTCCGGTCGTGCTGCGTGAGATCGTCTCGGGGCTGCTGAGTTCGACGTTGTCGTCGTCGATCATTTGCATGCGACTGAGTATGCTCCTCTTTCCATTGCAGTCGGTCTCCTCGGTCAACAAGGTCTTTCGATCGCTGCCGTCGGTCCACGGCGCGTCGGACATTGTGTCGTTCCTCTTTCTGCTTGTGGGCGGCCCGATGCTACTGCGGCCGACGCTGTGCAAGCACGAGATGGGCCTCGAGTCGGCGTCGACAACACTCTGCAACTACTTCAACTGCAGCAAGGGCGTGTCTGGGGACGCCACGATTCTCTCGGAGCTTCACCACATGCTCGAGAAGCACCATACAAGCCAAGCCAAGTCGTGTGAAGCCGTCTCGCTGATTCGGTACCTCACGCTCTTTCCGACGTGGAAGAAGGCGGTCGGCGCGATCGTGTCGCGGTCGCTCGAGAAGACAGACCTCGTCGACGAGCTCTTGCAGACCATTACCAGATTTTACGAGCACTTTGCCGACGCCAACGAAGACAATTTGTCGCTGGGCGTAGCCAACGACAACGAATCGACTCCGACGGAAGCCAGTACCGTCGAGGCCGTGCGCCAACCTGAGACCACGTCGCCCGAAAACGACGACGAAGGCGACACCCGCGCGACGCCGCTTGTCGACGAGACCAAGAAAGAGCGCGCGATCGACGTCATCTCCGAGTCGCTCTCGTTCGATAAGAAGGCGGCCGCGCTGCGCAAGAAGGCACGCGAGGCGCTGGACCACGCAACGCTCCTCATGGCTGCGATCTGCGTCGTGGGCGGGCACACGGAAGTGCTCCGCGAAGGCGGTCACGTGCTCTTTGAAGATCTCGAGATGCGTGGTCGGTACAAGAGCGGCGTGCTCGTCGCGTTGAAAAAGTCGGCGCGTGGTGTCATTGACGGCTCGGTCTCGCTCTTGGAGAGCAGTGAGGCGATGTCGCTCCCCACACTGTGCGTACCGCTCAAGAGCCTTCAGGCCGTCGAGCGCATTCCGGCGATCCCCAACATGTTTGACGACCACCTCGCGGACGCGCTCCAAGCCTTGTCCAAGCTCATCGTGCCAACGGGTCCGAGCCCGCTCACATCGCGTCAGTGCTTCAACCCGATCGTCCAAGCGATCCTGGGGCCTATGCTCAAGTCGTACAAGAATCAAATCCGGTGGCGGTCGACGAAAGCGCTCTCGTCCATCCTGAAGCAGCTGCCGTCGCTCGACACGTCCATGAGCAATAACCTCGATGTGGCCATTGTCTCCAACATTGCGTCGCTCCTTGCCGCCGAGAATGCGTTCCGCGTTCCCAAAGTGTCGTTGGCGAATGCCGCTGTCGAGGACCTGGCGAGCCTCCACTCGAAATGGGTCTGCGTCACGGAACACCGAACGTACTTGGCGGCCGAGAACGTCATTGACGCCGCACTCGATGCGATTGAAGGCCATGTCCGCGACGACGTGGTGCGCAAGCTTGGCGACGAGAACGCACTGAGCTGGGGCATCGATGCGATCCAGAGCCCAAAGAAGCGGTCGTCGACCGTGTCGTTCCAGACTGCTACAAAGGGCAGTGCCACCAACGACACGTCGCACGACGTGCCCCTCGGTGTTTGGGGGATGCTGGTGCCCGTGCAAAACATAGCGTCGGTGACAGACGAGTCGCCGTTCTCGTCCAACTTTCATCTGCGGGCGCCGGTGGTGCGCGTCGGACGCGCGACCGACTCGTGCGACATTGTCATCAACGACCGCAGCGTGAGCGGCCGGCATTTCCATTTGCGCCGCGCGCGCCAAGATGCGTCCGACGAGTACTACGAGCTGCAAGACTTTTCCAAGAACGGTACAATCGTCAATGGCGTCCGCGTCCACGGTGCGAGTTTGCGTGTCTCGCACGGCGCGCGCATCTCACTCATCTTGTCGCGCGGCGGTATGATCACGTACGAGTTCCACGTTGTGTCGCAAAGCAACGCCCCCGTGCTCCTCGAAGCGCCGTCGGTCAGCGGCGCCAGCCTTGCCTCGGAGCCGCAACAGGCGCAGCAGCTCGAGTTTCAAGAGCCACGAAGCCCGGCCGAAGTCCAGAACCGCGGAATGATGAGCAACATTCGTGCACGCCTCGGGCCGCAAGGCTTGCGACTCATCACGACAATTGGCGACTCGGACCTCCCGCGGGCGCTCATCTCCCCCAACCCGGCTGTGGACTCGCCGCGTGCCGCGTCCAACCCGCCGCCTATCGCAATCTCGACCCACTCGCCGCGAACGCCTGCCATTGGGTCGCCGGCGCACCTCTTGCTGTCGCCGGCGTCGTTCCAGCAACGAGAAAGCAGCGACAACGGGCCGTTGCCAGCGATGGCTATCAACGAAGCGTTGCGCATTGCGCTGGGTCGTGACAGCCTCAGTCGCGACGCAATCATGCACGACGTCTTGGCGCGCACGCGTGTCCTTACGGCGTCTGGGGACATTGTACCTGCGAAGAAGACCGCGGTAGCTGACTGGCTCAATATCGATAAAGGTATTGACCCTATGCCGACTAGGCACCCAAGCCACTCGCGGAAGCGGCGAAAATCAGTGCCAGCGACATGGCGCGCGACTTGTACAAGCGTGTGCGCGACCTCGGCGGCCAAAGCGTCGAACTCGAGCTCTGTGAGCGCGCGCTTGAAGTTCAAAATGGTGATGTTGTCCGTGCCCTCAAATACGTGCAGGATCACCTCGGCAAGGCACAGGTAGCATTTATCCCACTGGACGATCTCGGTGGTCATGCCAGCTCGTGTAGAGTCTGGGACTCAGCCCACAGCACCACTTGGCGGCGCGCAGCCTCGCCCATATTGTGGGCCAAAGCACTACTGCGTGCTCGCATGCACTCAAGCAGAGCGGCAACAACATCGGCGTCGCCTTGCGCTCTCTCCTCTTTAACCGGACGGCGCACATCAGCGAATCAGCGCCGCCAGAGCCAAGCCACGAAGACGACGATCTCGTCTCGGACCAATTTGACAAATTTGTGTCGCAGGCCGTGGACCAGCTCGCGAGTACGGCCCATGATGCGTGCGAGGAGAACCCGAGTTACCGCCTCCTTGAAACAACTGCGCCGTCGGCGTCGTCGCCGCGTCGATCGATCGCAGCGCGTTCGAGCCCGATGCGGCTCTCGCTTGCAAAAAGCTCCAAGCGTGACGACGTCGTGCCGTGGAGTGCATGTACCGCGCACATGGACGAACGCATCCGGTCGCTGAATTGGCGTGAAGTCGACTACGAAGAAGAGGTGCTGAGTCACATGCTCTGTGCAACGCACGCGCGCAAACTGCTCTTGCAAGTGATTCGTCTGCTTCAGCCAGTACGTACATGCCTTGATGTTATGTTGGAAGCGAACTGTGTCTGGTAGCACCACCAAGCCAACAAGCTCGACGAGAGCAGCCCGTTGTGCTCGTTTGGCGACCGCAACACGCTGCGGCAGCTTGTGCTCTTTCCCGAGCACGCGCCGGGCGATGAAAGCCTCGATGAGCAGTCGCACCATCGGCACACGCAAGGCCGCATCCAGCAAATATTGGCGCGCATCTCGTCCGACGTGATGGCGTCGTCGGCGGCGCGGACGCTCGAGGCCAACATGCGCACGTTCCAGAACGTCTCGACCCTCGCGAGCTCGATCGACAAGACGGATACGCTCCTGGCATCGCACGCCAACCATAACACGGTGCACGAAGTCGTGCGCACGCTCCTGCTATCGACCACCGACGATGTGGCGACCAAGTACGCGATTTGCGAAGACTTGGTGCTCGACACGATGATGCACGTCATCTCCAAGACGTTTAGCGCCAAGGATTACGAGTCGAAATCGCGAACGAGTGCCAGCAGCCACCACGACGGCAGCAGCGAGTACCCAAAAGGGCCCTTCCTTGTCTCATCGGGTCTCGAAGTCACGATCGTTGCGTCGTACGAGCGCATTTGGGGCATTCCGCACCCCGATCCGCTGGTCGTGTACCGCCACAAGTGGCGCAAGAAGGGCGGCTCGCTTCTCGAGAAGGACGCGCGTGTGCCATTTGATGTTGGCGTCACGCTCTGGCGGCCCGTCTTTCCGTCGTCATTCCAGACGACACTGCTGGCGCCTGAAAAGTGGTTTGCGCTCGGCGACGTGGCCAAAGCCGGAAACGACGCGCCGTCGACACCGATCGCACTCGTTCGCGACAACAACGACGGATGCCTCGCGCCACCCCTTCGTTATGAGTGTGTCGACGTAACGGGGAAAGGCCTCCCAAAGAACTCGGCAACGGACGGCGAGTTTGAGCGCAAGCAGCTGCGCTCCATGTGGTGGCCGATTGCACCGCCAGGATACGTCGCGATGGGTTGCATCGCAGGCAACAAGGAGGCGCCGTTCGACCCCCCATCGGTGCAAAGCGTCCGGTGCGTCCGCGAAGACTTGGTCCAGTGTCTCGACAGCGCTACGTGCTTGTGGCAGACGCCGAACGTCGCGCTGTGGTCTGTCAACGCCGACTACTCGGCGCATTTGATTGCAACAAGCCCGCAACTACCGCCGCCGACAACCGTGCCCGTTCTCCAACTCTCGGACGATGACCGCATCTTGTGCTCTCCCGTAACCACCGCGACGGTGCTTCGCTTTGTGAATGTCCTCTTGCACGCCAACCAGTGTCTCGGGAGCGCGGGATCGATCCTCGTCCCGGAGCTCACGTCGGCGCTCTTTGTACTCGTCAAGCAGGCGCTCTCGGAGAAGCGCAGCTCGCACATCACGATCGAGCTCGTGCGCGCGCTCGCGACGCTGATTCGCCACGGGTGTCCTTGGAAAGACAAGGAGGGCGTGCTCTATTGCCGGTCCAAAGTCATGTTTTTGCACCAAGACCAAGAGGGCAGTTTGATGCTGAGCTCGCTCCTCCAAGCGCTCGTCGAGCTCCTCCTTGTCGTCGACAACCAGAACCGCGCCGAGAAGCTCGCGATCTTCAAGCAGCTACCGTTGTACGAGACGACGGCCACGCTGCCGTACACGCTGCATCGCACCGAGAGCGTGTGTGCTCCGATGCATCCGCCCAAGATTCAAGTCGAGGCAGGTGCGATCGGTGGCGAGTGGGTGCTGCAGTACGCAGGGTCGCCCGAGGTCGCCAAACTCGAAGGCGTGGTGCCCAAAGTCGTCTCGCTACGCTTGGAGAGCACGCCGCTGCTGCACATCTCTCTTCAGACCCGGGCCATTGCGACGCTTCGTTACTTTGAGATTATCGTCCAAGAGTCCAAACCGCAGAGCGTGCGGCCAGCAGGCTTTGCCCTGGGGTTCGCAACGGCCGACATGGTGCTGGAAGGGTCGTCGTGCGTTGGCATGCTAGCCAAGACATACGCGTTTGCACCGAGCAGCGGCAAGACGCTCTGCGGCGATCCGCTCGCTGACGTGTGGACATGGCCCGACATTGCGTTGCCGCCATCGCCCGGCGACGTCTACGGCTGCGGTCTTCGGCTCGACGCGCACGAGATCTTTTTTACAAAGAACGGTCGCCTCCTCGGCACGGCGTTCTCGTCAATTCTCGGGGACAGCCAGCTGCAGCCGACAATCTCGATGGACTGCGAGATGACGCTGCTTCTTCGCGTTCACGACCAAGTGGCATTTCCGTTTGATACGACCGACTGGGACGCGCCCATGGAGGGCTTTGAGTGGTTTGATCATCTCAGTCAAGTGTACGGTATCATGCACGCTCTCGTCGACAAGACGCCGCTACCAGACGAGTTTCTCCTCTCAGCCGACAATTTCCTCGCGTCGATTTCAAGTGACGTGTGCAAGACGTTCTCCAGCGCACATCCGTATGACCTCGAGCTCCAGGAAGAGACCGTGCACATTGCACTTGCGACCTCGATTCGCATCAAGCTCGACCCACTCTGTGAGACATCGGGGTCGCACTGCCTTCAGATCGCGCAGGGGAGCAGCGACGAGACTGCTGAAGCCGAAGTGCGCACGTTTACAGGCGCTTGTGGTGGTCAAGAAATCACAGTGGATGGCAACGAATTCACATGGCGGTTTCCAGTGCAGTCCAACTTTCAGTGCCGCATCGATCGGCTCCGGAAAGGCCCGTACATCAAGCTTGATGCGCGGGATACGCGGCTGTCGCTCACGCGCGACAAGGGCTGGCAGTCGGCGATCGGCGTCGCCCGCTTCGACTCGGGCGTGCACACGTGGGAGGTCAAGATCGCGTTTGTGACGGCGTCGTCCAACATTTTTCTTGGCATTGCGCGCAAGGACGTCCGGTTCGACTCGTACCTTGGCAAAGACAACCGCGGGTGGGGCTGGATTGGCAACCGCGCGCTGTGGCACAACGGCAGCAAGCAGCGCGGCACGTACGGCGAAAAGTTCAAGACGGGCGACGTCGTGCGCTTGGTTCTCGATTTGAAGCGAGGGACGCTCTCGTATGCGCTCAACGGCAAGGACCTTGGTGTTGCGTTCGGACCTGGTGGCACAGGGCCCAAGCTCGAAGGCACCTTCTACCCGGGCTTTGCACTCTACAACCAACGCGACGTGATTGAACTCGTGGGTGGTCACCGCATGGAGGACAACGACGTGTCACTCTCGCACAGCGCGCTGCACACTCCCGACATGCATCTGCACGACGATGCTAGTGGGCTTTACGGCAGTGACGACGACGACGGCGACGTTGAAGCCACGGCCGAGGCGGTGCCAAACTACCGCGTCGAGCTCGCGACCGTGCTGAGCCAAATGGGTTTTCCGATGGACTGGTGCGTCTATGCGCTCAAGCATTGCGACGACGACGCGGAGCAGGCCGCCGACTTTATCTTGGGCAACATGCACGCGATGGAAGCGCTCGTGCGCGAGGAAGCCGAAGCGTACAGCCGACTGCTCGCGACGCGCGAAGACGTTGGTGTGACGCCTCCTGCGCCAAGCATGGCGCTCGTCGATGTTGACACGCCAGACGACCTCGAGGCAAATGCCATATCCGAGCCCGCGCCACCGATTGCGGTGGAAAAGTGGGGCGTCGCCTTCACGGTCGTGCCTGAATTCTCGGTCGCGGGGCGCCACTTGCTTGCGCTCAAGTACGCGCCGGCGCTGGCTGCGCTCCATGACGCGCACGCGGTCTTTGGTCGTGACCAAGACGAAGCGATTGTGAGTCTCGTAAATGCACTCTGCGAAGCGCGGGCCGAAGCATCTGTGGCCTGCGACCCATTGCGACTGCGGCCGGACGAGTTTGCACCGACCGACGACGAGCTCCGTGAATATCCGTGCTTGGTGGGGCTGCCGCTCGACGCGCTCCGGTCTCGCTTCCTCGTGCTGCGCAACTTTAACGCGCGGCTTCAGCACGTCTTGTCGTTTATGGACTTTGCAGCGACCGAGTCCCAGTCGACGCTCACCAAGTGCATGCGCGAGCTACGGGGCTGCGTCTTCCAGACCGTCAAGCTCAACTGGTGGTTTAGCATCCTCAAGGAGCAGCAGACGCCAGCCGCAGCGCGACCGGAAATCGAAGTGGATCGACACAAGGCAGCCGAGTCGACATCTGGTGTTCTGGACTCGGTCTTTAGCCAGTGCTTTGCCCAGCTGCAGACGCTGCAAGGGTCGCTCCTCCGCGGGCACGACCGCGCTTTCAAGTGTCAATTCGTCGGCGAATTTGGCGACGACTTTGGCGGCTTGTATCGCGAGTGCTTGGCGCAAATGAGCACCGAGCTGCAGTCCACTATGCTCCCGCTTCTGCAGCCGTGTCCCAACCAAGTGCACAAGGTGGGCGAGAACCGCGAGTTTTTCGTGCCCAACATCCACCTCCGCAACGACCCAAAGCTCATCCAAATGGCCGAATTCCTTGGCAAGCTCATGGGCATTGCCATCCGAAGCAAGACGCCACTCGACCTCAACTTGCCGCCCGTCGTGTGGAAGTTTCTCGTCGACCAACGCGTCACGCGCGCCGACATTGAGTCGATCCACCACGGCTGCTTCCAGGTCCGTCTCTTGCATCGATCGACGTCGGGATGCTTAGATTCTTTGTAGGTGGTCGATACGATCAACAACATCACCAAGCATGGCATTACGCCGGCCATGTTTGATGACCTCATCGACGCGTCGTTTACCGTGCTCTCATCGGACCGGCGCGAAGTCGAACTTGTGCCCGGCGGCCGCCAAGTGCGTGTCACATGGGACGACAAGGTAGCACGCAACGTCGCCAACGACGGGCTAACAAAGCGATGTGTAGGACGAGTACGCGCAAGCCGCCGAGGCGTACCGTCTCACCGAGTTCCAGCCCGTGTGCGCTGACGTGGCGCGAGGTCTCGCAACCATCTTGCCGCTTCCGACGCTGTCGCTGCTCTCGTGGCACGACCTGGCGACGCTTACGTGCGGCAAGGCGACGGTCGACGTCGAGTTACTGAAGCGGCGCACGACGTACGGCGACGGCTGCAGCGGCTCGGACGCGCACATTGTTTTCTTCTGGGACGTCTTGCGCGAGTTTACGGATGCGCAAAAGTCGTCGTTCCTGCGCTTTGTGTGGGGCCGGTCCCGCCTCCCGACGCACGCGGCCGACTTTACGCAGGATTTCAAGATCTCGGGGATGCCCAAGGCCGTCGGAAAGGCCGACACGTACCTCCCGCTCGCCCACACGTGTACGTCGCGATACGCTTGTATGGAGGCAGGGCCCACGTAGAGAATGCTATAGGCTTCTTCTCGATCGACATGCCCGCGTACTCGAGCAAGGCGGTCATGCGGGAGAAGCTCCTGTATGCGATCACGCACTGCTCGGCGATCGACGCCGACAACACGACGGTCGCCCAGCGCGCAGGCCAAGGTCTCAACTGGACGCGCGTGACGGGCGAGACGTAGGTCGTAATACATGCTTGTTAGATTCATACATACGATGGATGGGGCAGGCAGGAAATAGGAGTCGAGAGGCTGCTTAGACGCTCGTCGTCTTGAAGCTGATCGGGATCGGCGACGCGGCAAACTTGATGTTGCGCGACCCGTGGGGCTGCGCGGTCGTTGGTGGGTGGTGCGTCGTGGGGGTCGCGCGGTCGACCATGCGATCGTCGTGGTGGTGCATGAGGTGTTGTTGCTACGTTCAACATGAGCACGTTCGATACATGACGTCTCGTCCACCTGGTGCGGCGACGTGAACGGAATCTGGTCCGTCGCGAGCTGGAGCTCGGGCGGCGGCAGTCGGACGCCATACTCGTTCGGGATGAGCGGGAGTGGGATCGCATTGCGCTTCTCAGCGAGCTCCATCATGAGCTACGCGTCGGGAATTTTGAGGTATAATACAAGACGAGAGGCGGACCTCGCGCGCCGGCATCTGCGCGTACGTGTGGTTCAAGCGGGCCATGGCCGCGAGGCGAACGTCGTCGGCGTCGATCTCGGCCTTGTTGGCATACTGCGAGAACTCTTGAGCGTCCACGAGCACCTCCGTCGTGTAGCCTACGCCGTCGTTAGCTGCATCGACGCTTGGAGCGACGTCGTACGGTGGACAAACTCGAGCAGCTGCGTCACGACGCGCGGCTCATACTTGTCGACGCCCATCGACTCGAGGATGTGCTTGACGAGCGCCACATCCATGGGCTCGTGCACCTCCTTGGTCGCCGGCGCGTCGTTGGCCTCGTCCTCGACCGGCGCCGTCGCCGTCACCTTCCGCCGCTTGAGCTCCTTGGCCTCGCTCATGATTCTTGGAATGAATATCCTAATTAGGTCATTAAGGCCTGGACTTAGGAAAATAGGTCTCTGCCAGCTTTCATTAGGCAACCATCATGCTCGTTGTCACCGGTGTGTTGCTCGACGCACAGCTCATACGCCTGGCCGCTCGGTGGCTCGTTCGCAATGACAGTCGTTCGAGCCCAGATTGATCGGTGTCGCCGCAGCGTTCATTGGCATGTGAGACCGAGAAACCGTGGCGCTGGTGGTTTGTGGTATTTGCCAAATATAAAATTTATAGCCGTATTTAGTCTTAGTTGCACCTCCTCAGACTCTCAACGCTTAGTCGACCCACTCTCATTGCAACACGAAATCGCCCACGCTTGGCACGTTGGTAGAGTAAACATATTAGGAAGAGCAAGGTCTACCATTGTGTGGGGTATTGTATGCACACGGTAGGCCAAGATCGCTGTGCTACACGTCTCTATACAGTTATTGAGGGTTTGAAACTTTAGGCACCCATAACTCAGGTTATACGCCTCAAACGCCGACGTGACATAGCGTTTTGAGCTCTCCTAGATGTGTTGAATGCACTTGCCAAATATGAGCGATATTGTTTTCAGACTTGATTTGCCCACCAGAGTGCCGCCGCACTCAGGGAAGAGTCCTGTAATACACTATTCGATGCCATGTACTATTACACTAATTCAGTCATTTGTTTTGCCGGGCTGTTGTGCTGACTTGCGGTGCAGTCAAGACGGGAGCAACGCAGTTACGTGGTGTCGAAGGTGGATATTATTCACCCTACGTGACTCTTTTGCTTGTGTCGCCGATGCACCTTCGTAATTCCTCGGCGACGACATGTTTTTAGCGGACCCTCAGACCAACTGGAGCCGGGTCACCAGCGAACGGCGTCAGCTCAGCGGTCACGATTGGCCGTAGCACACAGAAAAGTTGGACAGAAGTTAGTACTAGCTAGTTACTGGTGATGTCGAACGCCTCATCACTTAGTTTAAGACCATGGCTCGCAGCCATCTCGACCGCTAGCTCGCGGTGACGCATCGCACGTCTCCCTTCAAGCAGTGGTGGTGTCGATGAGAGGTGTCCCTTGAGCGCGGACGATACGTGGAGAATGAAATGACACTGGTGTGTGGTGTAGAGATGCATTAATGCATGGGATATGCCTAAATCAACGATAACAAGTTTTTGCGCCAGACACCCGGCAACGGCGCTGGCATTATCGCAGTTCGTGGTCATTTTGCCGATGCAACGGCGTCAAAGCGTCAAGTCCTAGCTCCATGGGCCGATTCGTCGCTGATTTCAAAGGTCTTTATGTTTTCAGATTGGAATACCAAGATGTAGTGTTTGGCGAAAGCTCCAACTCTGTACCGCCACCTTTGGCGGCGCATTGAACGTGCACGAATCTTTTCATTCCGTCACTTTCTTGTGTTTCTGAAGCCAAATTTGACCACAGCGTTCGTGAACTAGCCTTAGTGGCTCATCCGGAGCTAAGTAGTCTGGTACATCTGCAGGACCTTGGCTAATTGTCAACTTGGCTCCAACGGTTCATGCCACGAATACACATGAGCTTGCTCGGATCCTTAGTACAATGTATGTTGCCTCTTGAACAAAGAGTAGAGCCTTGGTTGCACCACCTAGACGTGCTGGAAGTCCCGACTTGATCGACAACGCCGCTGTAAAGACAGGGATGTGCCGCTTTGTGAGGATGCAGAGACGCCCGCCTTGTCCTTCCTGAATGTAGTGACGCGGGCGACGTGCCCTTGGTCGCAGCGCCATAGAACCATCATTAGACTGTCTGGCCATACTTGTGGCGCCGCATCCTCCAGCTTCGCCCAATTTTTAGCGTCACCATCATCACAAAACAATGCTATGCAGAGTTTCTTTTCGGATCCAGCTTCCAGATTGGTTCTTGTCGCCACTCGCATCTCGTCCTACAAAGTCACTCATCCAATGTTCCAGGTGCCCCCGGTACAATTATACCGAACGACGAGGTCGTTGAACCAAGCTTGCACGACCTCCTCCCGACCGAATCTGGCGCATCAACGCGCCTTGGCATGCGTAATGGCGCGTTGAAGCAACTTGGAATCCAAGATCCACACCCTAGATTCATGCATCAATTGACTGTCCGTGACGTGGGAAATGGCAATTCCCACGGATTTCCGACGCACGTCATGCCGTGCATGCTGCTGGAGGGCGCTGTGGGAAAGGCGGTGTGGATTTCCCACACTGGGATGAATCTACGGATATCCTTATCCGGATTCAGAAGATTCTTTTTCTTATTTTGCGTTGTGGTTTTTTAATCATTACACAGGGAGTTTGTATGAAAACGCCATTGCGAAAAAGAACGCACTCGCAACGCGGATCTTTGGTCGCCAGTGAAACGGCCTTTCGCAGAACGCATGCTGATTGGTCCAACCCCGTCGGGTTCTTTTTTTGGGCCACGTTTTTGGATTCAATGCCGATAGCATTTGAATCTTCACCCACCATTGGACGATGGCTGTAGAAATCATTTTGGCCAATCACAGGCGCTGTAACAATTGTGATTCGATACACTATAAGAAACTATAGTAAGGAATCTGGCAGGCGGGGCCGTTGGTTCTGATGCGCGGGCTTTCTGATATTTTTTTGCCCGAGGCTTTGTATTTTAAAGTGCTAATATTCGAGAGAATAAAACAGAATCCTCGGTCATATATTGCGCACTAGGAATGTTTATACTAAATACAAGTGTATTTGGTGGCCTATTTCGATTCAGACAATTAATTTGCATCTTGGCGGCGACGAGATTCACGGACTTTTCGATAAAAGTATTGGTGACGTCGAATAATAATAACCCATTTTCGTGACCACCGTGCAGGTTGACACCATAAGCGATTTTGCTCTTATCACCTCAACACCTCACAGCAACATGATGCTTGCGATGCAACCTACGATGCCAACGACAATGCGGCCATCGAGCTTGGACGAGATCAGCATGGGCATGAGCATGAACATCAACATGCCCGCCAACCTCTCGGTGCCGATGCAGATGGAAGCCTGCAAGCGCGGGTGGGTCGCTCCGTTCCTGCTGCACCTTCACCAGATGCTCCGCCGCGAGTCGCCCCAGATCATCCGCTGGACGCTGGACGGCAAGGCGTTCGAGATCCTCGACAAGGCCACGATGACCGAGAAGATTCTGCCCAAGTACTTCCGCAACAAGAACTTTGCCAGCTTCCAGCGTCAACTCAACTACTTTGGCTTCCGCAAGTGGTCCAAGTCGCGCGCGATGCACTCGACGTACTCGCGCGAGCACTTCACGCGCGACAACTTTGACGAGCTCGTGTACGTCAAGCGCCAGAGCAAGAGCAGCAAGAAGGCCAAGGACGAGAGCTCGACCGACAAGAGCGATATGGACATGGAGAGCGACACCTCGTCGCCGGTCGTGATGGCGCTGCCGTCGCCGGTCATCCCGGCCGCGCCGCTGAGCCCGTCGATTGGCTCGCTCTCGCCGCACTCGGTGTCTTTTGTCCTCTCGAACGACGACGACTTGCCGGCCGCCAAGCCGTTCAACACGCACTTCAGCGTGCCGGCGCTTTCGGAGATGCGCCAGACGTCGCCGCTCCACCACATTCGCCTGCCGTCGCTGCACCAGATGGTGCCGTCGATGGCGACCTCGTGGAGCCCGTCAAGCTCGCCCAAGACGGATTCGTCGTGCGCCTCGCCCCAGCCAGTCAAGGTCGACTACAACACGAAGGAGCTCTCTGGCCTCTCGGCCGCGCGCTTCATCCGCGGTCTCTACGACATGATCTCGTCCGACAACGGCGAGCGCATTTGCTGGAGCGACGACGGCGCCTCGTTTACGGTCGTCAACTCGTCCAAGCTCGCTTGGGAAGCATTGCCGCAGTACTTCAAGCACAACAAGTATCGCAGCTTCCAGCAGCAGCTCAACATGTACGGCTTCTCCAAGGCCTCCAAGGCCCGCGCTTCGTCGTGCGTGTACAGCCACCCGCTCTTCCGCCGCGGCCACTTTACCGATCTCTGCCGCATCGCGCGCAAGACCAGCATGGCCTAAGCGAACGGCCCATCTTATTTATCCCTGCCGTTCAGTAGTTTCCTGTATATAGACTGTCCTTTGTTAACTTATTTGATATAATTGCACCTTTTGTGTGATCAACAACTAGCTCTTGCCTGGAAGGACATGACAAGTTGTGCTCCTCTGGTGCTTCTCGTACACGGCCTCGTCGCGTGGAGTATCCCAGTTGCGCCACTGTGCCGAGCCCCATGAAGCGGACCGTCACCTGATGGCTCGTCGTCGAGTAGCTATCATCCGTCCAACTCTGCGCTTCAAGGGCAGCCACCACAGAGCGCATCAATAGGCTGCTACAGAAGCACTACGAGAGACCCTTGGTCGAGACGCAGGAATGCGCCATACAATAACCAAGATACATTTTAGAAGCTGTGAGCGGGCGCGGGTCGGACGCATATTTTCCGGCCACATTACGTCCACGTTGTACACGTGGAGATTCTACACGATGATGGAATCTTGGTCTTGGTCGGGCGCTAATTCCACGCAACTCGCTCGCCAAGTCCTCAACGCACAGGATTAGAGCGTACACGTGAGCTCGAGCGCGAGGCTTCAAGCTGTCGTAATACCGTGACTGCCGCGGCGCACGCGTTGCAAATTGGTGCCGCCGGCTCGTCAACGCCACCCGCGCGCGGCCCGTCGAGCCCATACAAACACCAAGGTAATCTTGGCCCGCGTCACGCGAGCTGGGCGTGTCAACTGCATACATGATCCCGTGCTGACGCTGACGACAACGCGACCCCAATAGCGGTAGCTCCAGTCGCAGACGTGCCGGCACACTGTGGCTTCCGACACTAGCCGGACGGTCAGTGTCTATGGTTTACTAAGTAAGGAAGAAACCAAGCCGCACAGAGGCACGTGCAAGCTACGATGGCGTCGACCATGCGACAGCGGTTGAAGGTGGCGCGGCCACGCTGACGCACGCGACGGCGCGTTCTTTGGCCCTTTGATTACAAGATATAGCTATACGTACTAGGTAGGACGAGGTATTTGTCGCTTGTGTCGGCCGACTGCGTGGCGCGTCTGTGGCGCGCGGTGATAGACGGTGCAGGAGAACATATGCATTTTCATGCCTCAGCACTGTTGGCAATGGGGTGTGGCGGCCCGTCCGGATACGCGTGGCGTGAATTGACTTGTTGGGATTTTGCTTTCGCCGACGGACGAGCATGGGCAACGAAGCGTCGCAGATGGGGGGCAACGCGCTCGACATGTCGTCCCGGAACCTCAGCAGCACCTGCCTCGCAGGCATGGACGAGCCTGGCGCCGGCCTCCGCTCGGCGCCCTTCCTCTCGGAGACGAGCTACGACGCGAGCCGCGCCGAGAACCTCGAGTCGCTCGACCTCCAGAGCGGCTTTGAGTGGGAAGGCTTCGTCTCCAAGAAGGGCCATCTCGTGCGCAACTGGAAGCTGCGCTACTTCACGCTCGAGTCGAATCTGCTCTCGTACTATGAGAGCAAGGAGGACGCGCGGAAGCGGCGCCACCTCAAGGGCCGCGTGCACCTCACACGCGTCCATATCATCGAGGGCAAGAGCGCACATGGCTACGACTTTACCTTCGACACACAAGAAGGCAAGCCATTCCACGTCTCGACAACGACCGAGCTCGACCAAATCGCGTGGGTCAAGGTCATGCAGGTACGGCGACGACATGACAACGATAGCGTCATGGTCTATCGCAGGCGGGCATCGACTGGTTCAACCTCAACAACGCTGGCCAGTCCATCTACGGCAGCTCGCTTCTCTCCAAGACGCCGTTTTGCAACGCCGAGACGCTCTACTCGCTCTACCGGCGCGTGCTCTCGAACGAACCGAACCTCGTCGACGAGTTCCTCGCCTTCTTCAACAAAGGTACGTGATATCTCCCCGCGCTTTGCTCATGCGGCGCAGACCTCGTCTTCTCGTCCTACTACCCGCGCAAGTTTCCCTTCCACGGCGACTTTTTCGGGCGCGAAGGCATCCTCTTCTTCCTCAGCACGTTCCGCGAGAGCATGGATATCCTCGAATTCACCATCAGCGACGTGACGATGGAGCGCGACGGCAAGGTCGCGACCATTAAAGGCCACGAGAAGCTCCGGTCCAAGCAGAACGGCGCCGACGTCGTCCAGCCGTGGGTCCACCGCATCCGGTTTGGTCCGTACGGCAAGATCATTCGGCTCAAGATTGAGATCGACACGAAGATGGCCAAAGGCAACTGGAACGCGCTGGGCATGCAGACCATCTACCCGGAAGAGGTCATTGCCGCCATGCGCTCGACGCGCGCGCTCTCGATCTCGCTCCAGGATTTCACAGTCTACAACGTCATTGGGAAGGGCGGCTTTGGCACGGTCGTGAGCGCGGTCAAGAAGAGCGACGGGCAAATCTACGCGCTCAAGATCCTCGAGAAGGGCAAAATGACCAAGTACGACATTGAGTCGTCGTTCACCGAGATGCGCGTCGCCCAAAACATCCACCATCCGTTCATTGCCGGCCTCCGCATCGCGTTCCAGTCGCAGACCAAGCTCTTCCTCGGCATGCACTACTACAACGGCGGCGACCTCTTCCACCACATGTCGAAAGGCTCGAGTTCGCGCATCTCAGCCGCGCGCGCCAAGTTTTACACGGCCGAGCTCGTCCTCGGTATCCACCACTTGCACCAGCACGACATTCTCTACCGGTCCGACGACGATGAACTCTCGTAGGCTCAAGCTTTCTGTATGTAGAGACATCAAGCCCGAGAACGTCATGATCGACGCCGACGGCCACATTGCGCTCGTGGACTTTGGCCTCGCCAAGCTGCACGTGTCGGAGTTTAAGGGCGCCAAGACGATGGCGGGCTCGCCGCAGTACACGGCGCCCGAGCTGCTCTTGCCAAAAGCGAAGCGGTCGTACGGCAAGGCGGCCGACTGGTGGAGTCTCGGCATCCTCCTTTACGAGATGAGCATTGGCAAGTCGCCGTTCTTCGACAGCAACATTGAAAAGATGTACCAGAAGATCCAGAACGACCCGGTCATGTTCCCGCCGACGCCCGAGACGTCGCGCGAGCTCCAGGACTTGCTCCTCGGCCTCCTTCGGAAGGACCCGCACCAGCGTTACGGCAGCGCGATCTCGGACATTCTCCAGCACCCGTACTTTGCCGACATCAACTGGGACAAGTTGCTCCAGAAGAAGATTGAGGCGCCGTGGAAGCCCCACCTCGTACGCTGCCCGCCCTTGTTGCCACGGAAACTAAGGACCTCTGGTGTAGACGTCGACGCTGGACGTCAAGTATGTCGACTCGGAGTTTACCGAGCTCGACGTCTCGGAAGAGGTCATGTCGCCGACGGACAAGGCGTCCAAGAACATTCTCTTTGACAAGTTCGAGAGGATATTCGTGCCGCGCAGCCAACGCAAGACGCCGGCGCCGGCGCAGGACCCGACGTTCAAGGACTTTACGTACTTTTGCGAGGACCCAAACGCCCTCGTGGCCGTCGAGTCGCTCGTCGACGAGCTCCACACAAAGGACACGGTCGCGAGCCGGCGCGGCGCCGACGCGATCGTGAGCGCCGACGGTCTTGACGACGGCAACGGCACGCCGCTCTCGTCCTTTATCGCGAACGACCGCCCGGACCTCGGCGCGTCGCCCGACATTTACCCGATGGACCCGCATCTGAACCCGCCGTACAACTCGACGATGCCGGGCACGTCGAGCTCGCGGCGCCTCGAGGAATTTCGACACCAGAGCAATAGCAGCAATGGAGCGTCGAATGGGTTGGGCACCCCACCCAAGCCCATGGACCGGCTGCCGCCGCGCGCAACGTCGGTACCGCTCCTCCCGCCCAAGCCGACGCAGCGCGCGTCGGACGTCAAGAAGCACGAGGACGCGGCCGACGTTGAGATCTTTCGAAGGGCGCCAGTGACGCCATCGTCGTCATCGGCAGCGCCGAATGCGAATGCGAGTTTGACACCGGCCGCGACGCCCGTCTTTTTCCGCAACTCGTTTCGCCACTCGTTCCGGTCCGACCCATCGGCGTAAGACGCAAGCGCGTCCTCCACTTCGACTACTACTTGTCTGCGATATACTACAACTTACTACACACCACATCTGATACTACTCGGCCTTGACAACTACGCTGGATAGTCTAGATGTAAACTAGAATTATATGCATGGGGTTAAAACTCGTCAAAGCCGTCGAAAGGCGACGGCGACGGGCGCGAAAGGAGATCGGAAATCCCATTGTAGAGCATGCCGAGACCGCCGCTCGAGTAGAGACGGCCAAGGGCCCAGAGCAAGACGACGTAGAGCACAGGCTTCATCGCTTGGCTGCTCTGGCTTGAGTCCTGCGACTCGGTTTGAGATGGAGACGGCGCCCGGCAGAGCTTGGTCGCAAGTACATTGCGCGCTGTCGCCTACACCAGCAGGGTCAGCGAGAGACGCGACTGCATTCGCGGTACGAGGCGCTCGGCGGCATCAAGGGCGACGACGCCTTCGGCGCGCAAGAGCGTCGAGATCTCGTCGTCTGAGAGCGTCGGGAGGATCTCGTCGGCTTCGAGCAGCGCAGTGTCAAACGCCGAGAGCTGAGCTAGAGGCATGTCGTCCTATCGCTGCTTTACCAGGATATGACTCCACCTCGGGGTCGGGGCTTCTTCGACGCAGCCGGTGTCGTGCCGTTGGCCAAGTGCTCGGACTGGAGGTCCGCGAGCATCTTTTGCACGCGCACGTCGGTCAGGTCAATGCTACATACACGCACGATAGGCTGCCACGTCATGGCTCCTCGACCGCTCGCACCCGTTGGCGTGGCCGTCGGCAATCATGTCGGGCGTCGGGTTGTAAAAGTCGACGGGCGCTGGGGCCCGTGTCGCCGCGGCCTTGGCTTCATCGATCTTGGCTTGCAGCTCCCGCGCGCTCTCGAGCTCGCCCTTGGCCTCGTACATGCGCACGACCGCGTTCGCGTCGGCAAGCTACACGACATATTGCTGCACTGAACCGGACCACATCGCGTCTTGTTGCACCTCTTGCTCCATTTGCTTGCGCCGCGCGTCGGCCGCGTCCACGGGCTCATCGGGCGTGTCGACGACGACGCCACGATCAAACATGCCCTGGAACGTCGCCTTGTCGAGCTGCTTTTGCTTGATCGAGTCGTCGCGGAGTTGGCGGTAGAGCTTCCTATGCGTCGTGTCGGTGCACTTATCGTCTTGCAGAACGTACCGAATCTCGACGCTCGTCGGGTCCAGTTTGCACGCAGTGTCGAGATCGCGGAGCGCCTTTTCAAACTCGACGGCGCCCGACGACAAGGGCGTGATGAGCGCTTGGGCGCGGCTACTCGCGCTCATGTAGAGACCGTGGAGATGGCGATCGCACACCGGTAGAAGGCCTTGGCGCAAGTGCTGTCGAGCGCAATGGCATCGTCGCAGGCAACGATCGCGACGGGAAATTCCTTTAGGCGCATTTTGCAGACTACGTATGTGTGAAGGCACTATGCAAAATATGACGCGGACCGCTAATGTTGAGGTACAGCGACGCTTGGAGCGACGTGAGCTCGATCGCGTCGGCGGCCGACTCGGGCGTGTACATGACGACGCGGATGTCGTCGTCGTGGATGCCCTTCTTCTTCCAGTTCACGTCGGCGTTCTCGCAGTACTTGAAGATCGAGAGCGCCATTTCGTACTGCGCGACCGCTTCTTCGTACTGCTGGTCGGCGAAGAAGGCGTTGCCTTTCTGCTTGATCTCGAGCGCGGCTGCTTTTCGGGCCCCGAACGGCTGCGTCCGAAGCGTCACAATGGGCTCCGACATGAACATCGAGTGCTGAAAGTAGGTCGGCCACGCGTCCCAGACGGGTCGCAGCTGCGCTTGCTGCGCACCCTTGAGCTTGACTGCCTCGGCCATGAGGTTGCCGAACGGCGAGTCCTTTCCCATCATCGTGGCGGCGGGCGTGTGGAAGTGAAGCGTCGCGAAAAAGATCCGCATCCGCCGTCGCCCATTGGTTCGAAATGTGGCCAATCCTAGATCGTTTCGAACGCTCTCGAATGCAATGTTTTTGGCCAATCCAGCGTCAGAATCATGAAATTGGTGACCCAGGCATGGCTGTGATGGACAGACGATGCCACGCGCAATGCTAGTCCTTGGCGACCGTCCATTTCGCATGCAGTAATGTCAGTCCAATTTTGGGCCTGCCTTGCCGGAATATTGACCACAATGCCCTAATATTCCCGTAATTTTTGGACCCAGAGACCAAGAACCGGTAGACGGGCCACACCTGATTGCGATCGACTTTGAACTGCGCATACAGGTGCAGGTCAAGCGGCAAGACTCGGACTCATGCATGGCACAAAGAGAACGCTTCGAAGCGATTCGACGAGGCGCCACCTCGGGGTGTCGGACTTGCCGGACACACGCCAGGCTTGGCCGCGCACCAGCTGCGACATCGAGGAGGGCGGCTGCAAGAAGAGCAAGAAGGCTCCTGCCGCCATTCAGGGTGGCAAGAAGGCCACGTCTGCACCGCCATTTTCTCCGTCGCTTCGACATCAACATTGATGAACCTGTCCATGCGACCGAGACAGCATGTAATGCAAATAGCAGACGCGAGCCAGCGAGATGGGCACCGAGACGTGCAGTAGAAAAAAGAAGAAATAAGTTATTAGATGTCTTTGCCACGAATGTACCACGTGGCTTTGGGGGCATGGAGCACGTGGGCGGCTGACCCGTTGGTTGCGAGGAGGTTTTGCATCACGCTGTCCTGGAGCGCGCGGTGCTCGTTGGTCATGACAACGTCGATCTTGGGGTTGTCGACGGTCGAGCGCAGACGCCCTTTCTTCGTCCGCGTCACGATCGGGTGCAGGCGACCCATCGGGTCCTCGAGTGCCCAGCGATCGTGGGACATGAGGTCGACTTGGGCGAGGCGAAAGCTGCCGTGGACCACTCGCGACCGGATGCGTCGCTCGACCATCGACGTGGACGCTTCTTCGTGGACGCCGCCCTCGTAGAGCGAGTTGCGGCGCGTCTCACGCTGGCGTCGCCGCCGCTCGAGGATTTCATCGCGCGAGTAGAGGCTCGACTGCGGCGTCGTGCTGGCCGCGCGGCGGTTCGCAGCCACAAAGAGCTTTTGCAGCATAAGAAAGGTCTCGTCGTCGTCCTGGGGCTCGGGCTCGTCGTTCATATAGGGCGGTGGTGTACTCTCGTCGTGTGCGCTGGGCAGGTACCGCTCGGGCTTGTGCACCGCTAGTGGATAAACGTCGGTCATCGTCGTCGGCGGGCTTCGGGTGCTTTGTCGTTATGATGCGAACACCTGAGTCGGCCGCCCAAAACCGGATCCTTCCGGATGACGAAACCACTTGGCCCAACTTCAACTTTGCCCTCAACATTTTGGCGCTGCGGGTGCGGCGGAACCAATTGCGCATATTTGGAGCTTGGTCAGCGAGCGTTCGGTTCCAAGCACTTGGTTCTTCTGCCTCTCGCGTGCCGTCGACAGCGCTTCGGATGCGACTCGAGCGAACGCAAAAAACCAAATATCCCGTGGACACACCACACCGTGGGATAAGCTTCAGATTGCTCAGCACGCAATCGTGCCGGTCGTTGCTCGATTATTAAACATCTCGGGACACAGTTTCGTGCTGTGGACAATCGCATCGACGGCGCTGTCTATGTGTTGCAGTCCAAATTTGTGTACGGCCCAAGGACGATGAAGCAGTGCATGCGCTCCCGATGAAGAGAGGCTCACGCAGCCGAGCCGGCTTCTCGAGAGAGTAGCCTTTCGTCCGTTGCCAAACAGGATCGTGGCGGCTGCGCACGTCTGGTCCTGTGAATCAAGTGCGGGAAAAACGCACCGACATCTCGCGACGTGTGACGCGGATGTGCTGGCATTATTTGGCGGCCAAAAGAGCCAATCAGAGACACGTCCAGAGAACGAGGGCAGCTGGCAGGTTCGGCGCGCCTTCCTTGCACGATGTCGGAAGCTCGGGACAAAGCGCGTTTCCGGGCCATCGCATCATCCGAGAACAAGGCTGCATCGCTTGCAACTGGGACTGGGACGTGTCGTCTTTCCACTTGATTCCACTGGTGGTCTGGGCTGAGATGTAGCAGAGCCAGTAGACTACCGACTTGTATGAGGTTTCGCCCCAGCGCTGGGTGCACCATTGGGACGTTCGTCGACCGCAACCTCTTTGGTGTACGACGCGATACTGTCGCCACCTGCTTCTGCACAAGCCACACCAAAATGCATGACGAGTTTGCAGGGACTAGGACTTCCAGCGGTTCACAAATAAGCCTTATTTAGTAGTACTTGTACACACGGCTATGCCTGCAGTATACAGACTGCGAGAATGCTTAGTAGCATGGGTACGACGCTGGTATGGTACGACGACGCAAGGGCATTCGACGGCTGCGTCGTGGGTGCGTTCGACTTGGGGCTTGGGCCTGCCTGACTGCCCACTGTTGCGGTTGTTGGGGCGACCGTGGGCCGTGCCGTTGTGGGGGGTGGTGTCGTCGTCGGCGCTGGCGTCTGTCGGTCCTTGGAGGCTTGGGAGCAGTAGACCTTGGTGCCAAAGAGATCTTTGATCTGGCTGTTGAGGAGATCAATGCCTTTGGTCTGCAGGAATGAGCCCGCGGCGGTCTTGATGCCATCCTGCGCGGCCGTCGTCACGTCTTTGAGCTTGATCGCTTTGCCGGCAACGGTGACTTGCACCGTCATCGGCGGCGTAATCTGCGCGTCCGAAAACACGACGTTGCGCACAAACGGGTACGTTTCGTTGCAGGTGGCGGACGCGGTCATCGTGACCGTCTTGTCGTTGCCGCAGCAGTACTTGGTGTTGTCGAGCACCATCGCGCACGCGTTGAAGAGACAGCCCTCGACGCGGAGGCTCATGGGCAGCTCCTTGAAGTTGACAACGACGTTGAGCGCCAAAGCGCCTGCGTCGTCGAACGACATGGCAAGGCTCGTCAAGCTCATCGTGTTGATGCCCGAGATCCAGCGCGCAGTGACCTTGTACCAATCCGAAGACGTGTCTTCGTACAGATTGCCACCCGAGTCCATGCACGGTGTTGGCGGGCTCGCCGCGCCGCAGTTGCCAATGGTCGCGGGCAGTTGCGCAGCCGTGTAGTTGGCCAGAAGCGGCTTGTACGCATCCAGCAGCGTCGTTAGCACTTGCGGTAGCACGGGCGGTCCAAGGCCAAGGTCGGCGGGCGCGGCCAAAACAGCAGCGAGGCCGATAGCAGCAGCAAGCGGGCGCATGTCGGACGGAAGACGAGAAATGGCTCCACAGTGTCAAACAGCTATGGTGCGACATCTGCGTATGCCCGGGGTCCGCGAATTTTAGCTCCTGAGCACTAAAATCACGCACATTTACATGGGAATGCGGGAATCGAGCTCTATTGGAATAGATGGCGGGTTGCGTGTTTTGCAGGACCGTTATTTCAAGGTGTCTATGACTCGATACTCCGGGGCACCGTGTCCATTGCACTTGCAATTCAGCACACGATCTCACCTCGATTTTTTTAATGCATACCTAAATCTACATCCATGTATGGGGAATAAAATATTTCGAATTAATGCGACCGTGACCAAAGTTGCATCCATTTCAACTTTGTCACGATGCGACGAACGGCCATCGCCTGCCTCTTCAGCCTGGCAGCGCTCACGGACGCAGCCGCATTGCCGCCGATCCTGCCGCAAGCCCTCGGCGGCGCTATCGACGCCTTCAAGCCCGTCGTCGCAGCGTACGCAGCGAGCGCGCTCCCGGCGGCTATTGGCAACTGCTCGGCTGGCGCGCCCAAGCCGTGCGAGAACATTGGCGACTTGTACGCAACAACGACGAGCCTCTACAACTTGCGCGCGCGCTGGCTCGGCGGTCTCAACACGCTTAGCCTCGACGCGCTCAGCGTGACGTCGGACGTCAACGGCAGCATCACGGCCGCCGCGACCGTGACGTTTGCATCGTTGCCAATGAGCCTCCAAGTGGACGCATGTCTGCCTGGCGTCGGTTGCAACCCACTGCTTGACAACACGGACACGTGCTGCGGCGGCCCCAAGACGATTCAAGTGACCGCGGTCGCCACGTGCAACGAGACGTTTCCGTTTCTGCGCAACGTGACGCTGACGCGCGTCCAGATTGCGCCGGCGCTCGAGATCAAGTACAATGTGAGCGGCAAGTCCGTGACGCTCTTTGATGCGACGTCGCTTGTGCAGACGCAGATCGCGACGCAAGGCTCGGCGTTTCTCCAGGCCCAAGCCATGGGCCCGATCAACGACAAGATCAAGTCGTTCTTTGGCAGCACCATCTTTTGCACGCAAGAGTCGCAGCTGGCGTGGCTCGCAAAGAACCCGATCTCGAGCGGCAGCGGTGCAACGACCGCGCCGAAAACCACCAAGCCGTCGTCCAGTTCCGCGGCAAGTGCCCTGCGCTCGCCACTCGCTCTGCTCACAAGCCTTGCTGCTGTCGTCGTCGTACAGCTTAGTCCAGTGTAAAGTACTTCACTCGTAGTGCAAATCGCTTATACGTTATTGTGGGATTCAGTGAATACCAAGAGCAACGAAAGGTAGTCGATAAGCTCGAAAGGTATGAAAACACAAGATTCTATTGGAGGGTTGATTTATCTATCTATCGCCGGCGCGCAATCGTTGGTTCGACCTTGAGACCGAGGTTTGTAAGACCCATCATGTTGATCGTGCGCTTTTGGAGCCCGGGTGTCGTCTTGAGGCCCGTCGCCTTGGCGTACGCGTCACCGAGTGCAACCAAATCCGGCTTGGTGAGCTTCAAGCGCTTGAGGTTCGAAACGTAAAAGCCGAGGAAGGCCTGGTACGCCTGCGCCGCCTTGGTCTTGAGCTCGTCGTTGCTTTCGATCTTGCCAAGAACCTTGTCGATGGCTGTCTTGGTCGTTGTGCCGCGGGGCTGGAAGGCGACCGTGTTGAGCGGGAGATCGTTGAGCTCTTTGAGCAGGTTCTTCTCAAAGTCGCAGAGGATGAGTGCGCCCTCGCCTTGCTTACCGGCGCGGCCCGTGCGCCCGACACGGTGGATGTACTGCTCCCGGTCCGTCAAGCCGACTTGGATCACGAGCGAAACATCCGGGTAGTCGACACCGCGCGCCGAGACGTCGGACGAAAACATGATGAGCTTGTTCCCGGTACGGAATTGGTCGGCAGTCCTCGTCCGGAACGGCTGCGACTTGCGCGAGTGCATCTCGAGGATCGGGAATTTCGCAGCCTGGAAGATCGAGGCCATGTACCCCGCGGCGCGCGCGGTCGGGAAGAAGACGATGACCTTGAACGCGTTCGGGTGCGCGTGGATGTGGGCCTTGAGCGCAGCCTCGATTGCGTGCAAATGGTCTTCCATGCGGCAGATGGTCACGGTCTGCGGCACGTGCGCGTTCGTTTGGTCCGTCTCGGTGCCCACCGTGTCGATAAACTTGTGGTCCTTCTTGAGCGCAAGGCGCTGGATCGACTCGAGCGACGCCGGGAGCGTCGCCGAGAACAAGATTGTTTGGCGCTTCGAGGGCAGAAACTTGAGAATCGCTTCAATGTCGTTGCGGAAGCCCATGTCGAGAAGCCGGTCGGCTTCGTCCAAGATGAGCATCTTTGTCTTTTGGAGTTTTGCGACGATGTTGCCGTGGTCGTTCTTGAGCAAGTCCTGGAGCCGCCCGGGCGTCGCGACGAGGATATCGACGGGTGCCTTGAGCTTCTTGATATCGTGCTCGACGGATGTGCCACCGACAAAGCACTGCGTTTGGATCGTGTCATGGAACGTCGTGAGCTTCTTGGCTTCGGCGTCGATCTGCGAGGCAAGCTCGCGCGTCGGCGACAAGACAAGCGCCGAAATCGCGTTTGCTGGCCGCGGAGCCTTGGCGAGGACCTCTACCGTCGGCAAGAGAAAGGCCATTGTCTTACCCGAGCCCGTCTTGGACTTGGCGAGCACGTCATGGCCATCGAGAAGCACGGGCAGCGTTGCGTGCTGCACCTCGGTCATAGTGTCGTAGCCCATGACGTCAGTGATCGCCTTGAGCGACGGCGACGAGATCGGCAGCGACGCATACTTGATGTCGCTCGAGATGGACGCAAAGCTCGAGGCGGACCGGCGACCAAGCCACGTACTAGTACGGCGAAGTTGGTGGAGCATCATGTTGC